AGATGTAAAAATATAGTTTTAAATTTCTTCTAAGATGTCATCTTTGTGATGTCATTAGAATGGCTTAGATGAAGAGTGAGACTTAGAGGTAGATTCATATCATACTAATAATTTATTACGGAGTACTCTCCTTGGTCGTTATGATTTTTATTTCACAAATTCCAACAACACAAATCTATTTTCATAGTAAGTGTGCCAAAAGAAAATGTGAAGCTAATTTGGGGATAGATGTAGTATCATTTGTGTATGCTTCCTTGTGTGCGTCGAGGGGCTACCTTCTTCCCATCTAGCTATGGCCGTGCTTTAGAATGGCAGTACATGAAAACTTGTTTATCAGTTTACTGCATTTTCACGATGCTATTTTACCACAAAAAGTAATTACAGAATCTCTGGGGCCTATGGTTCTTATATCATGGTAAAAGCTTATCCATATCTTATTTTGAGAATCTTTATCTGTTTTGAAACAGGCAAGAAGCTGCTGGAGCATTGTGGAACTTGTCATTCGATGATAGGAACAGAGAAGCAATAGCAGCAACGGGTGGTGTTGAAGCTTTGGTAGGAATGGTTTCAATTTAATGATTGCATCCCTTGAGTTCGTATTACCTTACCATGTTATTAAATATCATATATAATGCAAGGTACATAGGAATTGAATTCTTAGTAAAGCCAGATATCATTTCTTTTTTTACACTTATTTCTACATATAGGTATTTGGCTGAAAACCCAATGATTTTAGTTGTCTTGTGTAGGATATTTAATGCTTGGATATCAAAGTGCTCTAACAAACAATGTCATGTGCAAACAATGTAGGGATGCAAATATCTGAAATGGGTTTCTAGTTTTAGTTAGAATTTATCTTTCTTCTAGCAAAGGTACACCACCCTAGTGATGAGAGTGGTAGGCCTCCACTTGTTACTTCTCTGTTTGTTGATATTATTATTATTATTATTATTATTATTGTTGTTGTTGTTGTTGTTGTTGTTATAATTATAATTATAATTACTATCATTTATCACTGCTACTACTGCTTTATCAGCATTAATTTCATCATCATTATTATAATAGAACTGACGATAAATGTACACTCACCTTCTTAAGATGAGGGAATAGGCTTACCCATTGACACACAAAAAGAGGGAGAAACATATGGAATCAATTAAAAGGGAGGACTTCATAACAAAGTTCTTTATTCTATTTAGGAAAGCCTAAAAGGATAAGGGCTTCTCTTTTACAATGAGTAATATGGGCATCTAAAAGAGGGAGCCATGTGCATAACTGCATATAAAGGTTGAGGCGAGATAGTAGTTGAGGGTCGAAAGATGGTAAAAGATGAAAATGTTACTTAGGTTATGCAAAGAAATGTATTTAGTTGGACAAGATGGATAGAGGAAGTAACATACTTTCCTTCTATTTCAATTACATATATTGTGTTACATTGCATGCGCACACGCGCGTCCACACACACAAAGATCATATCTAAATGGATTGATGACTGCCTGAGATGGTTTTTATGAATTTCAAACTTATGTAACACGAGCAGCTAGTGGATTTGAAAAAGACACATTGTTTTTTTTGCAGTTCCTTCGGGAATTTGATCAGAGTGAATGTAAAGTTAACTATAGTGTTAGCTACTTTCTTTATGTGATTACTTTTTTGGGTTTTGATGGAGCAATATTATTGTCTTCTTGTTGTCTATTTGTTTAAGATCTAGGAAATTGTTTTTGGAATGAATTGATATGATTTTTCTGATCAAGTGATAATATGAATCAATTGAAACTAAGCTGGATCTTTGTGGATTGTTTGCTGCTAGCAATTTGTAACTATATCTGCTTCCTTGAATGGGGAATATTCTTTTTCGTTCCAAATTTGTTGTCATCTCTGGTTAGAAACGCCCTCTCCCGAAAGGAAAGATCATGAATTTTGTGCCAAGAATCCAATGTTAGAAGTAGTAAACTACCATAGGTGCATTTAACTTATGTTCTTAAGGAATGCCTTATATCTTCATTTTCTAAGTTTTATAAATTTCTTTTTATTTTAGGTTGCTCTCGCGAAATCGTGTTCAGATGCTTCTCCTGCCCTTCAGGAGAGAGCTGCTGGTGCTCTTTGGGGCATGTCTGTGTCAGAAACAAATAGGTACATTATTTTGAAAGTTTTTTGTTACCAAAATTTTAAGAAGTTACACAAGACATTAATATAATATGCTACAAATGATATTTTGTTATCACGCTATAGATGATAGTATCTGTGCTTTTTGATTGTTCAAATAATTCTTTTTGCTGGTCAAGTTTTCTTTCCTTTTAGAGCCCTGCTCTCAAATACATATTCATTGATTGATTGATTCACTGTGTTTTGTGTGTAACTGTGTATGTTGTTCCACTAGTATTGCTATTGGACGAGAAGGTGGAGTACCACCACTTATAGCATTGGCAAGATCTGAAGCTGAGGTAAACTTTCATTTTGCTGAAAGGAATACTTTAGTTCCTTCTTTTTCTACTCCCTCTGTTCCTTCTTTTTCTTCCTCCTATATCTTCCACGTTTGACTTGGCACGGGCTTTAATTCTAAGATATAAAGTTAGTTTATTTTCCTATTTTGCCCTCCTTGAGTAATCATTTGTTTTTAAGCAAATAACACTGTGCCTGTCTACTAAAAAACACTGTCTGTCTTCCACCTGCGGATGTTTCATTTGCCCCAATCACATCCCAACAGTTTGCTCTTCCCCTGGTCGATGATGATTCTACAAGCAGTACTGCAGATCTGCCACCATCAAAGAAAGAGGTAGAGATGAATGAATCATGGAAGAAGAATCTGAGCTAGATTTTTCAGTAAAATCAATGGTTGAAGGCCAAGAAGACAATTAGAGGAAGTGATTTTGTCTTGAAATGGAGTTTCGATTGAAAGTATCAATGAAAGATTTGGGAAGAGGGGTAAATATGGAGTCACGATTCAACTGTAGTCTCGATGGAATTCAGATTGGTGATGTAAGAAAAAGGGATAAAGATATCTTTTTGCTGTATTTTTTTGCCATTTAAGGAAAGAGAAAGAAAGATATGAGACGGCCCAAAAGGAAAAATGGAAGAAAGATAAGGAACACAGGAAGTAGTTATTAAGAAAGTTCGATTTGTGTGGTTGAGTTTTCTGTAAAATTAACCATTTTTTAGGACAAACAAAAAATAAAATGTGGAAGCTTTTACTAGGACAGAGGGAGTAATATTCTTCCAAAAGTGACATCATTTCTAGTTTACAAAGACCCAGATTCCAGAAACAGTTTTCTAAAATGTAATTGAAGGTTTTTCTAGATTAATGTTCATTTTATTATACTTATTAAACAGCTGATACATAAGAGAATTTTGCGTTTATGATGGGCAAAAGGAATTTATATTGTGCAATAAATAGTACAGTGCATTAAGCACAGTTTTATAAGTAAATCCATGAATGCTTTGATATCTTGAAACAACAAACAATTTTGAAACTTTAGATTTGTGGAATGGACTCAGTTTATACATCCAGAATTCTGGTTTACTCCTCCTTGGATCCTCTATAATGAACCTGGTATGCATTTGTGTTGTTTCAGGACGTACATGAGACGGCAGCTGGAGCTCTTTGGAACCTTGCCTTCAATTCTGGCAATGCCCTTCGAATAGTAGAGGAAGGGGGTGTTCCCGCCCTAGTTCATCTTTGCTCTACCTCTGTCTCTAAAATGGCTCGTTTCATGGCTTCATTGGCTTTAGCATATATATTCGATGGAAGGTAAACTTATCGCACCCCTCTCTTAAAAAAAGGGTTTTTACAGTAGTAATTTTAATTCCCTGCAAATTTTTACAGAATGGATGAAGTGGCAGTTATAGGGAGCGGCTCATCAGAGAGCACATCAAAGAGTAGTGTGAATTTGCATGGAGCTAAAAGAATGGCTTTGAAGCACATTGAAGCTTTTGTGCTTGCATTCTCTGAGCCACAATCATTCGCTGCTGCTGCTGCTTCTTCCTCCCCTACTGCTCTGTTTCATGTCATTGATTCTGTGCGGATTCATGAAGCCGGCCATCTTAGATGCAGGTTTTTGCTATATCTTGGTTCTTGAATCTGTTGTTGGCAATGTATGCATTCCCCATACACAAGTGTTCTATTTTGGTTTCTCTTTGGTGTTTGTAGTGGCGCGGAGATTGGAAGATTTGTCAAAATGCTTCAAAATCCATCTTCTATTCTCAAGGCATGCGCCGCATTTGCTCTTCTTCAGGTACAAGAACGATTCATCCTCCTCTCTCCATTTATATGATCACTTCTCTAAAAAAATCACTTCTCTAGAACGATTCGTCTTCCTCTCTCCATAAAGTTAGGGACTTGGGAATATGACTTATCATTACAGACTTAAAGAGTGAACTTATTTAAAACTTAACAGTAATATAATTTATGCTCTCCAATGGCATTGGTTCACATCATTTGCATGCAGTTCACAATTCCAAGTGGGCGTCATGCGATGCACCATGTGAGCCTGTTGCAGAGCCCAGGTGCGTCGCGGATTCTGCGCGCAGCAGCCGCATCTGCAAGTGCGCCGCTTGAAGCCAAAATATTTGCCAGAATTGTACTGCGCAACTTGGAGCACCATCATGCCGATACTTCACGCATACACTAAGCCAGTGGCTGCTGCTCCCCAGTTCTATATATATATTTATACTTATACGATTTTCTGGTTTTGTGTTTTTGGTTGATGTCCGTACACCTCCTGTGTGTTTGGAGTGTGTTCTCTGTATTGTATGTATTTTAGGTGGACTATAGCAACTCTTCTTCATGGGAGAAGAACATACACCCATAATCCTTTCATTTTTTAAAAAAAGTATTCATGGTTGAACATGTGGTTGGACTTGGTCTTATATAATATAAATGTCTTTTTGAGACTAAAGTCATATGTTATATGATGCATTGTTGCTTAATTTTGTGATCAAAGTTCGTCGAGTTTGGTTGAGAATAAAAAAAAGTCAAATTGAATGAATATTCTACTAAGACATTGGGGATACAACATTTGTTATTCAATTAATATTAAACATCTTTTGCATGAATGATCAAATTAACAATAAAAACACCTGAGTAAACACAACTTCCAGAGACTCAAATAGTAAAAGTGTGAATTACTGTTTGGACAAATATTAGTCAATCAGATTGAAATGGTGTGTCCTGCATTGCTTGCATCTTCATGCACATCTGCAAGTGCTCCAAGAGCAAATAAATATCCTCACAATGAGGATTTACCTTATTATCCCCAGCTACAAACTCCCAAACCTCACCATCAACTTCAACTGCACTGCAACCAGCCTCTTTCTTTGCCCCCATTTCCCTCATCAATCCCTTCACTTCTCTAACATCCTTCCATCTCTTCTCTTTAGCATACATATTCCTCATCATAACATAAATCCCACTGTTCCACGGCTCCAACTCAATCGCCTTATCCTTCACCTTCTCTGCCCTCGTCACGTCCTTTGCATATCCACAGGCAAACAGAAAAGAACTGAGAATTACCCCATTAGCCTCATACGGCATGCGCTCCACCAATCTCTCAGCTTCTTCCAAATGTCCTGCCCTTCCTAAAAGATCAACCAAACAACCGTAGTGTTCGATCTCGGGTGTAACCCCATATTTCTCCATTGCTCTGAACCACCTCTTTCCTTCTTCAACCAACCCGGCGTGGTTGCAAGCTGACAAAACACCTAGCATGGTTATGTTGTTTGGTTTGCACCCACTGCTTGTCATTTGTTTGAATACTTCCAATGCTTCCTCGGCACATCCGTTTACTGCCAATCCGTTTATCATGGCATTCCAAGTGGATGCCACTTTACCGGTCTGCATTTCATTGAAAAATCTTGTGGCTTTTCCTATTTCACCGCACTTGGCATACATATCGACCAGTGCAGTGGAAACATTTGGGTTTCTTCTGTCCAGTTTCTTTGCCTTCACAATGTGGTGAACCGAGATGCCCAAATCTAAAGCACCCAGTTCAGCAATAGCTGGAAGCACGCTGACAGCCGTGACATCATCCATCTCCAAATTAGTCATCGTCCTCAATTCATGGAACAACCTCAATGCCTCATGCGGTTGCTTGTTTTGACTGTACCCACCAATCATTGCATTCCAAGAACATATGTTCTTTTCAGGCATCATATCAAATAGACGTCTTGCTTCTGTAATGCTGCCTGTAGTGCAGTACCCATCGATCATGCTGGTCCAGGTCACCACATTTCTTGATGGCATTTCAGCAAATAAGCTCTCTGCTGACTCCATATCTCCCAGCTTCACAAAAGCATCAATCATCATATTAAAAGCTGCAGTGTCCTTCTCCGGGTTCAAGCAAAAAAGCTTCTTTGCAATACCCATATCACCACACCTCATGTACCCTCCTATGAGAGCAGTCCACGAAACAGAACTCCTCTCACTCATTTCATCAAACACCTTCTGCGCAAAATCAATGCGCCCAAGCTTGCCATACATGTCGACCAGAGACGTTGCCACATACAAATTGGAAACAACCCCGCACTTCAATGCATGATTATGGACACCCAGGCCGTCCCAGAAGGCTACTTTCAAGGAACAACACTTCGCCAAGCTCGAGAAGGTGTAGTTGTCAGGCTTAAACCCCGTGTTCCCCATCAAATTCCTGTAGAAAACCATAGCATCCATGACGTATCCCGTGTCAAGATATGATTTTATCATAGTGTTGCAGAGAAAGCTGTCATCTTTCCGGGGAGATCCGTCGAACAAGCGGCGGGAGTAGTGGATTCCGGCGATCCGGTCGGCAGAGGGGAAGGCGGTGACGAGATTGGTGAAGAGGTTGACGTTGGTCTCCAGGGAGTTTCGTAGGATGAAGGCGAGAAGTTGGAGGAGAGAGGCCGTGGTGTTGTTCCGCCGCTTGAGGAGAGAGAGGCATCTTCTCTCTAAGTCGCTCCATAGCCGCCCTGTGGTGGTTTCTTGGCCACTCATTGACCCATTTCTGTTCCATAGCAAGTAACGAATTTGAGTGCAAAAAGCTTCATGCCTTCATAGCAATTTTGTTTCTTTTTTTTATACCTATTTTATAAAATATTTTTACCTCAAGTACTTCCGAAATAACTTTTATGTATAATAATATCTCATAAAACACTTTCCCTCATCTAAAATATTTTAAAAAACAATTTCTACTTGTAATAGAGGAGGAATAAGGTAAATTCGAAGTACTATAGATATGTAAATACGCATATTTGAATGCACAAAAAATAAAACATAAAGTCATTTTAGAAACAAGTGGAGTATATTGGGTTTGGACTAGAAAAGAAAATGAACATAAAACAAAACAAATGAGAGAAATGTCAGCTCGATGTTTAAGGGAAGTGTAAGACGAACGTGACTATGTAGAACCTTCATTTGCAGAGTGGTTCGTGACTCTATGAAGAGAAATATTGAGGGGGGGGGGGGGTTGTTGTTGCACGACCTTTGGGAGATTTGAACTCGGCATAATTGGTGTAGAATAACAAATACATGCAACCGAAGACCCTAATCACTCAAACACTACAGTAGTGTCATTCGTGGCAAGATGCAAATAAAGAAGATCCCAAGGTAGCAATGACACGAAAATCACACAACAACATGTGAAATGTGGACACGAGTTTTAACCCCAACACACATCTGGTGAGAGTGGACAGTGAGAGATAGCAATGCACGATTCGTGAAGGAAGCGTCCCAAGGACTAGGCTAGGTAGGGGATGCTTGCATGGTGGAGGCAATCGAAGTACGGAAAGCACTCGGCTGGCTCAAGGAAATCTTTAGAAATTGGACAATCACGTTGGAGATGGATAACCAGACACTCTGGAGGAAAATTGTTTGATACTTCTCAGGTGTAGTTTTTTATTGTAAAACATTATCGTCTGAGTTTTGTTCTGTCTCTTTGTCTTTTGTTTTAAGATTTGTGAATCAGGTGACTCACTTCTTGGTTTGAGCTTCTGATTCTATGTCTGATTTTTGGAGTGGGATACTACCCTCATATGTCTATTTGTGATGTTCTGCACACTGAGTCGAGAGTTTAATAATATTTCGTTGTTTTTCAAAAAAAAATGAGGGAAGAAAATGTGAAGAAAGCAAAAAAAAAAAAAGGAAAAAATTATACTATCTCTTATCGTAAAAATTTTTCCCATTTTTACTTTTTTTGGTCAAATAATGACACTTTTTACCATAAATTGTGAAAAATTACATTTGATTATAATATAAATTCAACATAATTGGGTTCATTTTAAGATATAGTTTTGATATATCAAATTTTTATAACATTTGATTATTTAGATTATGTTTAATTTGTGGTAAAAGAATGTCAATCTTTGTTTACTTAAATTTACTTAAATGATGGAGAGCACTTGAATGAAGAAGGCAAAAAAAAAAAAAACTAAACATCATTTTAGACTATCATTATTTTTTGTCAACTCATATCACATCAACTTTTTTTCTTTAAAAAATGGCCCTAAATTATATAGCATCAAAATATGAGTTTTATGCTTTTATTTCCAAAATTTACACTGTGATAATATGACACTATATATTAACATTTCACCATATTTTTTTACATTATATATTGACATGAATAACATTGTTTTGACATTGTAAATTCTATTTTGACAATAAAAGCATGAAACTTTTAATATTTTATTCAAGTACATTCTCTGTATTGTACTATTAGTTTACTCTTTTTTTTTCTCTCTCTTTCTCATCACATCTTCTATTAGACTTCTTTCGAAACAAGAATAACTGACTTCTACATTTAAATTGGGATTCTAGTCTGTTCCAGAAAATGGCATGTCAGCCCGTAGGTGAAGTTCATCTTTGCAGAATATATCCATATATTCGTTTTTAGAAGTGAACAAAATATATGAAACGAACTAGGGTTATAGTTTGTTATTATAACAATATAGTAGACTCATGACCTGATTAGTGTCAATTTACATTTAGAATTGGTTATAAATATATCTTATTCAATGAGAAAAGTTCAATGAAGTGAAGTTGCAACAACATAAATAAACTAACTACCAAGTGGGCGTAATCCAGCAGGAGTTGAGGTGCATTCTCGTACCGTAAAGATCGCACGATGAATCTCCCCTCCCTGAGAAATGCCATTCGTTTTTTCTTGCATGGGACCCCCAGGCAGTGGGGTGACGTGAGGCGAGGTTGGATCAGGAGGGAAAAGGACGAACTCGTCCGGCTTCTTAAGGGAGTTGCTCATAGACACATGGGGAAATTGTATGTTCGCGAGAGGCTGTATTTCGGCGACGTGCCTCCGGATATGCAGATGCATTTTGAGATCATTGAGCATTTGGGTTTTACCATAACAAACTCAATGAAGCGTGCACCCTGTACAACCAAACTTTTCACGAAATGAAGAAATATTTTGATCCATCTGCTCCAGAATCATCCCCTATCAGTTGAGTCAGCCAAGCAAATCCTTTTTCTAGATCGTTAATACACATATAACACCACCTCACTCTAATTTTCTTTAACGCTAGCTACCCTTTTTGTTGGGGTCTGATTTTTGTTGTTCTTGTACATCTGCCTTTGGGCGGGGAAACCAATTCCAGTTTTCTTGATTCCTATACATACATAGAGTGGGATGGATGGTCAAGTATCTTCTTGTTCTATAGCTTTTATGCATGGGTTGTTTGGTATTGCACACATATAGTTTTGAATGCTCTAACTTTAATTTGGAAACCACTTCTACCTTTGCACGCCTATGGTAATGTATGTGAAGAGACACCCTATATGTGGGACATATTTTTGTTGGTGTGTGAAATTACAACAACCTACTCGGATTCCACGAAACTAGGGGGGTCTGAGAAGGGTGTGTGTACAACAGGTCTTGCCCCTACTCGAAAGCAGTGAATTTAAAATTTAGAATTCTAAGGCAGAAGATAAGTGACTTTACATTCTGGATGAAGTAATAAGGTTCAACATCAACATGTACGGTCTAGGTAGCTCAACTCTATACATCCCCATTGCATTTCCTTCATTAGTTTGTTTATTTTGTTTTTGAGCAGCTTTATTACCATTAGTACTAGATAGAGAGTAGTAACAATGTATAATTGTTTTAAATGCTCTAATTTGAAAATCAAGCTTTCATGCTAACAGTTTAATACTGTAACTGGACTACTACATTTTTCTTCCGTTCTTTGTTAAGTAAAAACCAATCACATACTCCCAAATGTTTTCATTCCAACATGAAATTGTAATTCCAGGTCCTTTTTTTTGGCTCTCTCTAACACAAGAATTCCATTTAGATTTCAAAGAATACAATTTCTTAAAAGTCCCTCCCTCAAGTTGGACTTTTTTCCATAAGCTTCCTCTGTATGGGTTGAATTGAGGTAATCATCCCTTGCTCGCCAAGAAGATGAGATTTGACAGTGGAAAGAATCTCCTCGTCTATATATACTCTTTCAATTCATAGCATAATTGGTGACCAGACATGAAGTGTTTTAACAAAGTTAATTAGATCTCTTTCATAACTACCCTTAACAAACAGATTAGGTATGATTAGATAGTTTGAAGCCAGGGCATCAAAGTAGCATAACTACCCTTAACAAACAGATTAGGTATATTAGATAGTTTGAAGCCAGGACTGAATTAGTGGTTAGAGAGGGTAACATATGTTATTATCTCTATTCTGAGAAGCTAATCAAGGGGATGATCCGAAATAAATAGGCCCTCATTTTAACTTAAGCTGAGGTTGATCCCTGTCACATCATTTTAACTTAAGCTGAGGGTAACATAATAAACACTTAAATCAATAATTGAGCACATTAACTTAAGCTGAGCTAACAAACAGACCCTCATTATTAATGTCACTGTGATGTAAACAAATTCAATAAGAATGTGTGCAATGAACACCCCCAAAGTTACTATGTGTATGCATATAAATAAATAAACTACCAAGTGGGCATAACCCAAGAGGAGTTTAGGTGCATTCTCGTACCGTAAAGATCACACGATGAATCTCCGCTCCCTGAGAAATGCCATTTGCCTGTGTCCAGAGAGAAGAACGCAATTTCAGAACCACAAAGCCAATGGCCATAGATTCTGTTCCCTCTTGTCTTTGTCAAAACAGACAAGGATGAAGATGGGCTGAGGTACAAGTCGTACCCGCCCAAATCCGCGACCGTTTCCCAAGCCTCTTCGTCACCATTCAGCCTGTAAACCGAAACCCATTTACCCAAACGCCCAACAAACACCGAAATCAGCTCCCCGCCGCACTCCACCAAGTAGTTGTGATATGAAGAATCAATAAGCCCATCCGGGCATTGGGGCTTGTCAAGAACTTCAAAGCTCCATTTGTTTCCCACTGACGAATGTGTTACTCTAAACCTTCCCAGATGTCCTTTCTGGTCTAAGTAATAGATCACACCTTGAACCAAAACCGGGCTTGTCAGTGCAGGTGCCTTGAAAGCCCTATTGCTTTCCACAACAATACGCCTCGCACATTCATCCCCAGGGCGGAGGTTGATCACTTTAACCATAACTTTCTCCTCCTCGAAGAAACCAACGCTAATGATTGGACAATCGCCATTAGAAGTAGTAATAGCAGATGACTTTGAATAGAAAAACATGCTCTCCTCAACCCCCTCCCCATAGCTACGGTTGCAACTGATGATGTCCCGGGTAAACGGGTTGTAGAGATGAACGGCGCGCAGAGGTTCCAACAAAAGCAACCAGCCTAGATGTGAATAACACATGGTTGTCGGGTTTTGAAGAGAAAGCCCCTAGGAGTAGTCCATTATTAATCTTGACGACGACAAATATAACCCTAGATGTTTAAACATTTGTGAGAGTAGAGACAGCCGTTTGTACTCGTTACCCGTTCTCTTTAATATTCGAGGGTTAGGAAGACTGTCACGAGAAGAGGTTGACTAACCTCCCCGTTGTCTCGCCTTCTAAAATGAGCGTCGAGCTTTTGTCAGGTAATCAAATGCTACGAGATGCTTGGAGACTTTTTCAAACACATCCAAAGGAAGGTCACGAAGTCTTCTGCCTTCCTCTTCATTCTCATCAAACTCCCATATTGATTTACTGGTGCTGTTTTTTCCTTGCTTGCTGATGTCCACGCCTTCGTTGCAATAATAGTTTTCTTCCAGCCTGAGAGGCATGTTGTCATAATTAAGTGATAACAATGCAGGATGATGAAAAAACATTAGTCCTCACAGTACATAATGCAAAATGATGAGAAGACGTTAAAGAAGAAACAAAAACAAGGCTTCTCACCCAACGAGGACTCGTGGCGTTATCCAATTTGGAGAAGAAAGCAATGGAACCGGAAGGGGAGACGCCGTAATGCTATCATCTTGTGTGTAGAAACAGTATAAATTATCGGTGTCACCGTCGGTGGTGAAGTATATGAGACCGGGTCCTGATATAGGACAGGACACACAATACCTCTCACCCACAAAGAACGCTATATCCCTTACATCTTTAACTCTCTCAAAGATCATGCCATCAAAATTCAGTCTGTAGACCTCAAAGGCTAGAGCTTTAGTGAAAAAACACAAACCCCAGATTTCCCCTCATGATTCCAACAAATACACCTTTACAGGAACGTGCAATCCTCGAGTTGTGCATTCAAGCATGCACACCATAGACAACAACATCCCGAGTCGTTCTTCTTTTTCAACGACAATCTCTATACACCAAGTAATGGGGGCAGATACACCGCGTTTTGATCGAAGTTTAGCAATGATTTTGCTGCCACAGATAGCTGCCCCACCTAACCACAAAGGTCCTTGTCTAGGTTCGACCCGTTCTACCAAGCCCTGGGGGAAACAGGCGTACAATCGCTCCCCGTATGCTATTTCGCTCCACTCATGCTCAAAACCAACTCGACAACACATTATGGATGGAAAACCTTCCAAGAACAACAAGACCATGAAAGAATCCGACCAATTGGGGTGTAGCAGACAGGTATCAATCCTGTAATTCGACAAGTGATGCAGGGTGGGAAGGACTATGGTGTCACCAAAGGTGGTGGAATTGCAAAGGGACAACTGTTTGGTATCAACATCGTACAGAACTAGCATGCCATGGGAACAAGAAACAACCTGTTTGTTTTGCAAAACTGGGATTCTCTTTTGGTATGTCTTGACCCGGGAAGGCGGCCCTGTGATGTTGCACCAAAAAGTTTGCGTCTTGTAACCTTCCCCGCCGTCAAACACCAGCCACGGACATGGGCCCGGCGGAGGCGCTACTTCTTCGCCGGCAGGAATCTCCATCTCTCTCGATTGGTTGCCGATTTCACCCACGCGGAGGCGCTACTTCTTCTTCACGCAGGAGGCCACCAAAACAATTTATGAGAGGGATTTTTTTTTTTGTGTGTGTGTGACCGGCCCTATCCATTACCAGCAAGCAACAACAATTTACCATTACTACTTGTCTACTTCGATCTGGCCGGCCGTCATACGGGGGAGGATCATGCTAAGCTTCCACCAAAAAATATACCCATTTGTACACCATAGATTTGCACAAACGTTTCGATGGTTTACAATGTCGGTGCGTTAATAAAAATTCACACGGACACAAATGTTGGTGCGTTTAACAAAAATTAGTTTTACACCAACACAAAATGTTGGTGCAAAACTGCGGGGTACAAATCTTGGGGTACACGTATCATAATCCTACTCGGGATTTGAGTCTTTGCAAGTTTTGGTACTGAGCCTTGTTTGATTTCGGCCTGAAATCGTTATACCAATTTTTTAACAGTATTTCGTTTGAGTACATAAAATTTAAATTATAGAGAAAATTCTCAAAGTTGTAGTCAATAACCATGTGTTTTTTCAAATCCTTTAATATAATATTTCAGATTCAGATCACCATAATTTGACATATGGAATGTTTACGTGAAGTTTTTTTTACACTTTAATGATGATTGTATCCATTAATTGAATCTAAAATCAATCACAAAAAAGTCTTCATATGTGGTAACTTTGGAATAATCATTGACCATTTTAAATAAATAATTTATGGTAACTTTTAAAACTTGATATTTCTATATCTGATAACTTAACACTAATATATTTGATATTACAAAAAATTACTTTCTTTAAATTTGTTTAACTTATATTTCATTTATTTGACTATTTTAATCTCTTTTTACTTCTTTAATATTCTCACTATTATTGTCACATATCATATTCGAAATTATTTGTGTGATCCATATCCATTCTAATTATTTATTTTTTTAAGATTAAATGACATTACACAAGAAACAAATACGGAGTTTATGGCAACTTTTTAATATTTATTGATCATTTTTAGCAAATAGTTTATCATAATCTTTAAAAGTTGATATTTAAATATTTGATTAGTTTAAACAAGTATATTTGATATTACAAAAATATTATGGACTTTTGAATTCAATGAAAACTAAGTAAACGAATGAAAATAAAAAATATAATTTTTCAACAAAAATTAAGTGAATTATTCATAATAAAAGACACTAACAGTGATATAAAAGTTTTTTAAGTAAAAAAAGAAATGTTTTTAAAATTATTAATTTATTCTTTTTTATGAGAATTTATTTAGCAAAAATATGGTTGTAATTCTACAAAAAAAGTGTACGTAACTGAATTGAATTTAGCATAACAAAATTTGACTAAACTAATATAACTAAAAGTAAGTTACACAAAAAGAATGTAACGCCCTACAACCCGGTCTATTAGACTTGATTATTTTAAATAATTAATTACTGTTCCGGACCAGAGTTGGGAAAAATAAAAGTTCTTAGAAAAATTATTTGAACACGTCATTAAATTTATTTTGACTGTCTGATTCCAAAAACGCAAACGGATCTCAATTCGGACCCGTTCGGGGGAAAACCGCGTACCGTTCAGGTCAGATTTTATACTACCGTTCAGATAACTCCCCAAATACACCCATACGCCACTTTCATCCCCTCAACTCACCATCATCATTTTCATTAACTCCCTTTTCAATTCCAATCATTTCCCTTCATAAAACCCCCTTCCCCATTCATGTTCTTCATCATTTGTAACTCCCACTCCATAACTCCCTCTTCCTCTTCCCCTACGTTGTTCGGCCAAGGAAGCAGCCCAGGGAAGTCTCCGGCGAAGCTCCGGTGGGTGCACGGTTGAAGGAGAAGAAGAGTTAGGCCGTTCGTGTGAAACGTAGCCATCGTTCGTTCGTTCGTTCATCTCGTTTTGTCAACCCCTACGTTTAGAGGTGAGTAGTTGTCCCCTCTAATTCTAGAACATTTAGTTATAATCTATGTCGTTATATTCATAGGAATATCGTACGCAACCTACGTAGAATCTATGCATGTTTTTAGGTTAGCCATCAAAACGTTCACAACGTAAAAATCGTATATATTGGCCTAGGAATCACTAGGAATATATTCATCAATGCTTACATTATTGTTTTAAAAAGAATCAAGGTGTTAAGTTTGCAAAATGGATCAAAACGGAGCCAAAGACAGAAGACTGTCTTCGGGACGGTCGACCGCCGCTACGGACGGTGGACCGTTCCCTAGGCCAATCCGACGGACACCACCGTGACGGTTGACCGCCGGCCGCGATGGAAGACCACAGTGGACCGTCGGCGTTCCAGATCTCTATAACGTAGCCCACGGTCGACCGCCGGTAGGGTACGATAGACTGTTCCGCAGGCAGAATTTCGGGCAGTTTGTAGAACGAGCCCCGTTGACCATATTGACTCAGAATCTGATAGTATGTTTGCATGTAATGTTAATCTTCATTATGTATGTTATTTAATTGATATATTATTGGCGTTGACTAAAGGTAAATATATCAAGCATTCATCATGTTCATTCTAGACGCATGTCCTAGCTAGATTTTTCATCATGTGCATACCGCTATAGGGAGGTCGGGCTTTCGTGCGCCTACTACAGTGGGCTCGTCCAGGAACCTTTGGGATCCAACGGGTTTTCATCAGGTGGGCTTTGTGTACGTACATGGTAGTCAGGTTACGGCTACCACCCGGTTTTGCTAGTCCACTTGCGACGTTTCGTCGAGCCCGGCTCATTACCGTTCGGGTATGATAACCGGAGTACAGGGGTGATCCTGTCATGTGAGATTAAGCCAGGGGTGTCCCTGATAGTTTAAGGCATGCATCAAGTCATGTCGTCATCATGTATTTTCCATGTCACATCAGCATTCAATGTGGTTATATATCATTTTGTTATGTGTAATAATATCCCATCAACTGCAAATTAATCAGTTAGTAAACATGTGGTTTTCCGTACGTTAAGTACATGTATTAATATGTGTATAATCATATGGGTTATCACTTCATGTTCTTTTGTTAGATTTAGTACTCAGCTTTTGCTAAGCGTGTAGTTGTTTTTGCTACACGCAGGTAGACATGACGGTACGGGTGCTAATCCTGAAGGACAGTGATGATGGGAGGATGGGCGGCGCACGGACGAGTTTATTAATTAACATTTAATTAATTAATCATTTGGGTATTAACCCACCATATGTCGTTTTTACTTATTCTGGACTTAATTATTTACTTCCGCTTTTACTCTGCATTTATATCACACAAGTTTTGGGAGTAACTCCCTAACATTTATTTCCGTATTTAAACACAACCGTTTTCATAATAAATAGACATTAATGTTTTTCGCTACGGACGATTCTCGTACCGCCCATGTAACCCTACCGGTCCGTTGGGTCGCGGGTGAACCAGGTCCACGGAAGGCGAGTGTTACAAAGAAATTGAGTATATTTTTATAATAGTTCTTTTTAATAAGCTACAGAGTATTTTTCCAAATCAAATCTCAATAAATGCAATAATATGCTAATGTTGTACCATAAGCTATTTGGGGATTCCTTTCGTAGATCATCTTTTTTTTTTTGCCCTCACTGCCTGCCTTTGTTATCCTAAGACGACGATGGCGCTGGAGCCCTGCCTCAAAACATTGATAACATGAATTCTGGCCCGACTTCAGACATTATGACATCTTCTAATTAAGGCCAATGTATTTCCATATTCAAACTATAGGCTGACTGCTGGTAATTTATCCGGTTGCAAAACCGTATGCTTCAGCCCTTATCTCCATCTCACGCATTACTTTCGTCCTTGCTCCTTTTGATAGGAATTGTGCTTCTTGGTTTGATATTATAGAATTTTGCTTTTCAATATGCCTAGACATCCCCAGGTTCCGCTTGTTGCTTCATGTTGGAAGCATAGTTTCTCTGTGTTTTTTTGTCGCTGATGCCTGTTCCCTTCCTGACAAGCTATTGCCAGTTAGATGTAACTGTGCTCTAATTTGACTTCTATGATATGATGGTCAAATTGATATACCATCCCTTTTGGGTTAATTGGTCTTCCATGTATATATCTTTAATAAAGACTACATTGTTAAGCGTATGTAATTCATGGGTAAGTGGAGACTAGAGCTTAAACCTGAAGATTTGGTCTACAGAGAAATGGTATACTTCAGAGTTTATACTCAAATTTCTTTTTTCAGAAACGTACAAGTAATTTTTGAAATGCTATATTTTGTGTTTCTCCCCCACGAGGGATTTTATGTACACTATTGCCTTAGAACAAATTTTACCTAATCACAGGAAAAGATGAAAAAGAGTATGTCTCAAGTGATTCCGTGGCAAGTACTACATGTGTGAAGGGCAGGGTTGGTGAAAGAGTAAATGATGAATAAGATTCTAACTGTCCATTGTAAAGCTCGCGTGATCACTACTACCCAGGTAAAATTTTGAATGGTTTATTTAATTTGTCTGCACTCCACTCAAAAAAGTAAATGGTGAATAAGATTATAGCAATTGTTGAAGTGATAGACCAGATTAAATTACTTATTTTTGTTTGTTGAGGCTTTGATAGTGTGAGCTTCCCTTAACAACTCAGAATCTGGGGTTTCAGAAGTTTGTCTATGAATTCTGCTATAATGGAGTTACTTTTTTGTGGTTCCTGGTAGTGTGCTTCCAAACCAGAGAATTATAGGTCACATAACTTTTGCAGTATAAGCTTTTGACAAAGAGGATAATTTGACTTCAAGAGTTTAACAAAGAGAAAGGCCCCTCCACTTGAAATGTAAAAACCACGTTTTCCCACTCCCTTACTTTCTGTTATAGTGATTTAGCTTGTAGTTATCATAATGGCTTTAGTTGTTCTTTAATTTACAGAGTATTTTATGCCACCTTATTTGGCAATTATCCAAATACACTATTTTATGCTAGACACCGTACACAATTTCATGCCACCTTATTTGGAAATTATCCAAATACACTGTTTGAGGTAGCAATTAGTCAAACCTGATCATTCTTTGAATACTTATTTTTAAAAGCATTATATGTTTTTAGTGGAATTGAATTAAACCTGGATACAATCATGATTTCCTGAAACATTTTTGTTTCTAATGCAGTTAGCACTGAATTCACTGTAAAGTTTTAAGAGGTTGATTTTTAAAAACCATTTTTGTCATTGCTTGAGTACCTTTGAATTTGTTAACTACAGAATTTGCTTCTATCGTTGACCTTCATCTTCAATTTTCTATATTTGGTCTTTGAAATTCATTCAGTTTCACTGGCAATGATTTCTTACTAAATGGCAGGTGTGTTACACTCGTTTCAAATACCGAATTCAGTCATTCATGAGGTAATTTTAGAGGGGTAATTCATGGCTACTTATATTATGTCTGTAGTAAGCCAATTTTCTTCCATTTGTGGTGAGATCAGAAGTGAGCATTTATGTGTGCATAAGTGTTTCTGGGTTTTCCAACAACAATTTGCTTAGAAAAATATTTTGCACAAGTTGTCTCATCTCTAGGTTGTTCTTGGCTAGGGTTCCGGGTTAATCAAAGGTGAGGGTTTCATGGTTTTGGATTTTGATACAATGATGAATGCATGACTCTGAACAGAATAGGGCCTGATTTTGCCATGTAGGTTGCTAGATAACAGATCCGCAGGTTGTTTATTCTTGGTGTGCATTCGACTGTTTTTTAGAACAACTCATACTCTACTCCTATAAACCACTAACATCGCCTGCACCGTACAGGATCTGAACACTTCACCTCTTGGATGGAGGGGGGGGCACCACTATTGCCTGCACTGTACACAATTTTGTACCACTGTATTTGGCAATTAGTGAAGTACTCCCTCGGTCCCATATCTTTCTTCTCACTTTCCTTTTCAAATTGTCCCATTTGATTCTTCTCATTTCCTAAAATTGAAATAAAAAGCACCTAAACTTACCCTTTTACCCTTCCTTTTTCTCTCCCCTACACGCTGCTTTTTCTTTTTTCTTTCTTTCTTTATTTCTTCAATCAGACCCCCCCCCTCCTCTGTCTTCTCTCCTCTTTCTTCTTCCTCTTCCTCTTCTTCTGACCGAACCCCATTCTCCATTTTCTTCTTCTGCATCACACCCCCCACCCTCATCTTCTTTTTTTCCCAACCACCATCCATCTTCTCCCCGAATTCCATCGCAAAGGATTTTCCTCCTCTATGACGGAATGCAATTGTGGGTCAACAGTTCGCCAGAAAAGGGACGCAGCGGTAGACAAAAAAGGTCGGCAATGGTGGAGACAAAGAGGGGCGGCGGCGATTGAGTAAAAACTCCAGATTTCATTTTTGATTCTCGCCCTCTTCTATTAATCACAACCTAAATTTGATTTTCTTGAGTGTGAATAGGTATGGTGTTGATTTTGTTTTGAATTTTTGTTTCATCTTGTAATTTGATTTTGATTTTGAACTTGTTGAAAAAAATGATGTTGAACTTGTTGAAGAATAAGAGATGAATTGGTCAGAAAAGATAAACAGACACACAGGGCATGTGCACTGACACGAACAAGAGGGGGTAAAAGTGGAAAGCCAATACATTTTTTATCTAACATTAAAACACGTGCAGTGAGCACTGAATTCACTGGAAAAATTTTAAGAGGTTGATTTTTCGAAAACCATTTTTGTCATTGCTTGAGTACCTTGGACTCTGTTAACTACAGAACTTGCTTCTATTGTTGCTGCTTGTCTCTTCGGGTGAGAAGCCTCATCCTTTTCTACTTTATCATGTTTTCCTCGTTTTTTGCATTTCATACTGTGGGTCTTTAGCTAATGTTGTACCATAAGCTATTTGGGGATTCCGTTCGTAGATCATCTCTTTTTTTTGCCCTCACTGCCTCCCTTTGTTATCCTAAGACGATGATGGCGCTGGAGCCCTGCCTCAAAACATTGATAACATGAGTTCTGGCCCGACTTCAGACATTATGACATCTTCTAAGGCCAATGTATTTCCATATTCAAAGTATAGGCTGACTGCTGGTAATTTATCCGATTGCAAAACCGTATGCTTCAGCCCTTATCTCCATAGCATGCATTACTTTCGTCCTTGCTCCTTTTGATAGGAATTGTGCTTCTTGGTTTGATATTATAGAATTTTGCTTTTCAATATGCCTAGACATCCCCAGGTGCCGCTTGTTGCATAACGGTATGCTTCTGCCCTTATCTCCATCAAACGCATTAACTACAGAATTTGCTTCTATTGGTGAGTTTTATCATCAATCAAGTGAATAAAAAAGCTCACATATGAATGCCTTGATGCCATTGGCATCAACAAAAAAATAGTTTGGCTGATCATGTAAAACAACTTTTTTTGCACTCTCCTACATGGCTAAGTAACAAGCACCTACTACTTTTGCACTCGTTTGCTTCAAAAAAAAATGGACTGCTCCCTAACCCTCTTTTTCAACTTGCAATGCTCTCTTGGTTGTAATTAAATCCCTTACTCCCTTTATTGTAAGCTAGAAATTACCTATACACTTTTGGTTGAAGAAAAATGAAACTCATTACTAGGCACCCACGCACATTGTGCGTTCCCAGCTATATATATATATATATATATATATATATATATATATATAGATATATAGATATAGATACATACATACATACATACACACACACACACACACACACACACACACACACACACATATATATATATTTGTGTGTGTGTGTGTGTATTAAATTTTCAAAAATGTTTGAACTAATGGTTCAACCATTCGAACCACTGGTTCGACCAGGAAACCAGTACCTCGACCGGTTCGATCGCCGGTCCGGTTCTGAAAACTATGGTTCCAACTTCCGATGATCCTGCAATGTCTCGTGCTGTCTTTAGAGTTCTTCGTCTGCTCACTAGATTCTTTCATCGCCACGCAGGCCGCATTGAAATTTCTCTGGATTGGCAGAGCGGATGGTGGGATGCCAAAGAATTCTCGCTCGGCCGGAGGAGTGGGAGGTTGATGCCTACGGCCTCTTTGATGAGTAGCGGCTGGAGCGACGGCCTCCTAGAGTCGAGCAGGCCGGGGAGGAGTCTTGACATCCTCCTCTGACGAATAGTAGATGAACCTCGAAATTTTTGCAAAGGGGTCAGGGTGCTCGGACTCGGAATTAGAGTCCTCGGAGTGAGCAGGTGTAGGAGTCGAGCTCGGCCTAGACTTGGTTGGGATGGTAGAAGAACCCCCATACGAATAGCTGTTAAGGGAGAGTGAGCAGTCCCGCATCTCGCTTCAGTCAGGGGGAGTCGGAGCAGAATAAGACATAGCAAAGACGAGGAGAAATTTAAAACTTTGGTGCAAGGACGATTTGAAGCCCCCCGCCCCCTTTATATAGGCAGTGTGCCAAGGGGGAAAGGGACATGTGGCAGCGCGGGATTAGCCAAGCTCAGCGGTCAGTAAAAGGCACCAAGTCCCAAGGTTGCCTCAATTAACGAGTCGGTGAAAAGGGACCAAGTCCCAAGGTGACCTCTGCTCGGCAGTGCCGAGCCAAGGCGAGACAGGGGATGTACGAGTAGGGCTGTAAACGGATAGCCGAAAATTCGATTACCGTCCGCATCTGTATCCGTTTAAAGAGGAAATATCCGCATCCGTTTTAAACGGATATTATCCGTATCCGATTAAGGATATCCGATTACTAAACGAATACGGATTTGGTAATTGTATATCCGATCCGTTTAAAATCCGATCCGCATATGCATCCATTTAAATAACTGTTTATCCGAATATCCGATCCGTTATATATAGTTTTTCCTAATTTTCATGTTTATATTTTGTTTCTCTATTGATATTTCAAAATATAAGACATTTTTAAATACAAAATAAATATGTACACATAAAAATATATACAGACATATAAAAATATGTGTATATATGTGTTGTGTATATCTTTTTATCATATAAAGTTATCGTAGAATATCAGAAATCATGAAAACAAAGAAAATAATTATCTCATAACAAATTATAGTTGATTTAATAATAGTTTGACTTTAATCTAAATTAAAAATAAAGTATTTTTTAATTTGATTTTAAAAATTGGAAACGGATACGGATATATCCGATATCCGACCGATATCTGACGGATGCGGATACGGTTTTGATTTTCAGTATCCGTCAAGATCCGTATCCGAATTCGATATCCGACAAAAATAAACGAATGCGGATTTGGTAATGGCACATCCGATCCGATTAATATCTGTTTACACCCCTATGTACGAGCATGTAAGTCTACAAAAATATGAAAGCATTAAGAGACAAATCAAATCCGCACAAGATGAAGAGTTACATTGTCATATTACATTAAAAATAAAATAATGCAAAGTCATTGAGGGAGGCGTCAATTCCCCCCCAAGGTCATCAGTTGTGCCTTCGTCCCCCGGGTAATACATCGACGGGTCAAATTCTTCAAGGTTATCGCATGGATCGGGGAGATCCTCGCCCACAGTGAACCTCTCCAACAGCCCAGAACAAACCAAGGTTGTAGTAGGAGGTCCCCTCAGAACGGGAGAACTCTAGCCCTTCGGCCGTCTTCTCCCAGGACTTAAGCAGATCCTTCATGCAGGCGAAGGCCTCCTCTTGGAAGGCGGGCGATGCCAGGAACTCACCCACAGCTCGGTCGCGGCCCTCCTGGTAGGCCTTGCCAGTTGCCTCCTTGACCTGCTCTTCCGCAGCTTGGGCGCGCTCCTCGGATTGGCAAGCAAGCTCCTCGGCATCAACCATCTTCTCGTGGAAGGCCGCCATCTCAGCATGGGCCTTGACCCTATCCTCCTCGCTGAGCCATAGCCGTTGGCTCACCTCGACGAAGCGCATCGCCTTCTGCAGAAAAGTCAAAGGGATGAGAAAACCACGCACCACTAAGTGATATATTCGTGGGGTGGTGTAAAAGAAGACTTACCGAGCCCAACTCCCAAAGGGAAGTCGAAGTCAGGACTTCGCTATCAGCATCATGGAGCGCTTCACGGTTTAGAGGAGTGAAACCCTGCAGGAAACGTTTCGGCTCGTATTCCCCCCTCAAGAAGGAAGGCAGAGGAGGGAAGGCCACCTTGACTCACGAAGGATGCCTGAAGTCCGTCACGTGAGGGGACTCGGATCCCCTCGGGGTGGCCAAGGTCGAAGCTGCCAAATGTTTTTCTCAAACAAAAATGAGGAATATCATGTACGCACGTATTATTTTTCATAATATGATCGTAGAGGACAACGAGTTTGCGATATGTCAATACAACCCGGACGAGGAGGTGCCTATGTACAAAAAAATTGATGAAGAAAAGAAACAAAGAAACCACCAAGAAATTTGTAGCCAAGAGATTCACAATGCACTAACGGCGGATTTGATCAAACATATCTCCAGTCGCTCAAATAATCAGTAATTTGTTCATAGTGTTATTTTTTATGAATGTTATATTTTTTAATGAATGTATTTTTTTATGGATGTAATTTTTTTGAATGAATTTATTTTTTAATGAAATATTCTTCTTACGATTATTTTGAATAATAAAATAATTTTATTATTCTTCTTACGGTATATATATCTACACACACACACACTCGTGCATCGACTTGGTATATCAAATTAAAAATTCAGACCAAAAAGAAAAAGTGAAGGGAAATTATGACGAACAAATTTGAGAAAAATTGTGGCGATGAATGAATCTAGCGAGCAGATGAAGAACTCTAAAGACAACATGACGATCGGAAACATTGCGGGATCATTGGAAGTTGGAACTGAAGGGCCGAAGAAGAAGTCAGAGGTATGTGTGGTTGCGCTCAAAGATTTCTCTGCATCGCCGATCGCAGAAAAGAAAGAGCTGATGATAAAAGTGATAATTATATGGACTTCAAAAAGTGGTGCGGAAGAGAGGGAAATTATATGGACTTCAAGAGTTGATACGGAGTAAAATATATTTGTAAATTAATAATGAAAAATGAGGTAAATAATCATAGTAATAAATATTGTTGTAATAGTTGATTTTTTCAACATTAGTATAAAAATAGAGTAGGGTGACAGTAAAACAATAAAAGGAAACAAAATACGGCCCGGGTCATGATAAAATTAAAGCAAAACAATCCGGGTGGGGTCGTGGTCTATTTTAAAAAAGGGAAAGCAACCACATCGCCTCTATAAATACGGGTTGGGGCCGTGAATTGGAAGGGCGACAAACTTGAGAAACAGAACGAAAATTGGAATTGGAGGGAAAATGAAGTGAAGGAGATGATGTCAGTGGAAGTAGATAAGGGGGTTGAAACCCTAATCGGACACCTCATCGAACAGGGAGAGAAGATCAAGAAGTTGAAGTTGCAGATAGAGAGAGTGAATGCGGTGTAGGAGGGTGCGACAAAGGGGATAACATATATCAAAAAATTACTAGCAAGGTTTGAGATTGACATGGAGAGGATGGAGCATCTTCTAATGACAAAATTGGGCGAGGAACAGGCAGAAGTGAGGCGACTGATGATGCGCCTTCAAAAGACGCTCCATCCTCTCCATGTCAATCTCATACCTTAGCTTGCCAGTAATTTTTTGATATATACGATCCCGTTTGTCGCCCCCTCCTGCACCGCATTCACTCTTTCTATCTGCAACTTCAACTCCTTGATCTTCTCTCTCTGTTCAATGAGGTGTCCGATTAGGGTTTCAACCCTTTTATCTACTTCCACTGACATCATCTCCTTCACTTCATTTTCCCTCCAATTCCAATTTTCGTTATGTTTCTCAAGTTCGTCGCCCTTCGAATTCACGGCCCCAACCTGTATTTATAGAGGCGTTGTGGCTTCTTCCCGTTTTTTTAAATAGACCACGACCCCTCTCGGATGGTTTTGCTTCAGTTTTACCGTGACCCGGGCTGTATTTTGTTTCCTTTTACTGTTTTACCGTCACCCTACTCTATTTTTATACTAATGTTAAAAAAATCAACTATTATAACAATATTTATTACTATGATTATTTACCTCTTTTTTTCATTATTAATTTACAAATATATTTTACTCCATATCAGTTCTTGATGTCCATATAATTTCCCTCTCTTCCGCACCACTTTTTGAAGTCCATATAATTATCACTTTTATTATTGACTATGCTCGGTTCTTCCTTTTTGCGATCGGCGAAATCTTCGAGCGCAACTACACATACTTCTGACTTCTTCGGCCCTTCAGTTCCAACTTCCAATGATCCCGCAATGTCTCTGATCGCCATGTTGTCTTGAGAGTTCTTCGTCTGCTCGGCAGATTCATTTATCGCCACGATTTTCTCAGATTTGTTCGCCATGATTTTCCCTTCACTTTTTCTTTTTGGTCTGAATTTCTGATTTGGTATACCAAGTCGATACACGAGTATATTATATATATATATATATATATATATATATATATATATATATATATATATATAAAGCAGGATTTTTAGGCTGTGGTGTTGACACGTGGACGATGATGAAGCAACTGACACAAATGATTTTTGATTACTCGGCTTACTTCTTTGGACTTCTTTTTACCTTCATCCTCAATTAATTTCTGGGCTTCGTCGCTTGGAGTTTCCAGTTGGAGAAGAACACTGTACGCGGCCCCTCCTCCCTCGCCGGTTACTTCTGTCTCAGAAATTGGTCCAGCTTCCTGTCCGCGAGCACCGATTCATACCAAAATCCAGTAACCCATCACCGCCGTCTCGCCTTCCCAGTTTCTTGCCGCATCTTCAACAGTCCGGTTGCTGCCAATATATCAATTAGGGTTTGTCATTTCTTTCAGAATAGTTTCTTTTTTAAACAATTGAATTTTTGAAATATTATAAATATCGTAATCGTGCACCAGCAATTGAATTTGCCAAAACAATTTAAGTATCCAAGACTAGAAAAATAGTCAAACCTCAGCTAATTTCATGCGATGCTATGAGCGCATGACAAATTTTTTGTGCTTTATGACTATTTTTAAAAATTATGTATTCACTTTTCTTTTTCAGGATAAAGACTGAAATCAAACAATAGGAGCTTTGGACTCACTTTCATATTTTGAATCTTTTGCTATTTGCAAAATTGAATTTGATTTTGAATAATTGAGTAACCCATTTTGAGTTGACTTTCGGTTGAATTGAATAAATCAGTTTGCTTTTGATTTGAATTGAATGATTTTTTTACAGGTATTTGAATTGAATGATAAATCAGTTTTTTCAAATCGTATGAAAAATCCCAAACTCCTCCTTCGTGATTAGAGGTTGTGTTGCACTTTCATTTAAGAGCTCCGGTGAGATATTTAATACTCCTTTTACATTTCCACCTCTGTTGTTACCCGTATAATGTACTATTAGGATTGTTAGGCCCAAATGAAGAACGCTAAAATGCAAATTAACAGTTTTGTGTAGGCCAATGCAGATGATTTTTCTTTTGAACATGGTGAGAGTAGGAGATGTTTTACACGTGGACCATGATGAAGCAGCTGACACACATGATTTTTGATGACTCAGCTTACTTCTTTGCACTTCTTTTTGCCTTCATCCTCAATTAATTTCTTGGGCTTTGTTGCTTGGAGAAGAATACTGCATGTACGCGGCCCCTCCTCCCTCGCCGGCTACTTCCGTCTCAGAAATCGGTCCAGCTTCCTGTCCTTCGTCTCAGAGATCAGCCCGTTGTGCGTCCCTCTCTCCGATTGAAGTCGTCCGCCTCCGATTGAAGATGCCTTCGTCTGGTTCCGTCTCCATCTCCCCGATCAAAGAAAAGACCCAACGATCAGGTCCCCCACACTCTACCTCTCTACAACTCCATCTCAACCCCCAGGTATTATCTTTCTATTTGAAGACTTCTAACATATCACTGGCTTTTGCTATTTTTTTTGCCTAATTGTCTGAATTGCAAAATGCAAGAATCAAGATTGCACCCTATTTTTGCCTAATTTATGATTTATGCAGCCCCTATTTTATCTAATTGAATCTGACTTGATGATATGCATTACGTTTTCCAATTGTGCAAGTGTCATATTTTTGAAATTCAATTTCTCATTTCTTTTTTATTTATTTATTTTCGCACATTTTTATATTTCAAATGGCAGTATGACTAGCATTGGAACCCTCCAGTAACTCTTCTTTAAGACCTTGGAACAATGTTGTGAACTCATATTATATATTTCCTTTTTGTTTCCTTGGTCTTATAGGGAAGACCAAAGCTCAATCTATGGTGTGTAGGGATGGTGTCAACCATATAAAAGTAAATACCAAATCTACCCAAACTGGTTACCTCAAGGAGCTTCAAGCACTTCTTTGGTTGTCTCAAGATCCCATCTTTGCATTTTCTTCATTTGCAGAGGTATTTTCACAAAAGCTTAATTTGCAGTTGTGGATAACCCACACAAATTCTTCTAAGACAAGCTCATGCACTAGAGGTGGGTCGCCATACTCAACACAACATCCCAAATAAAGAGGAAAGATTGCAGGTCAATATTTTTTTTTAATTAAATATATTTTTTAATTATAATCTTTGGTGCTTTCCCTCAATGATGCCAGGAAACAAGCTCTGCCTTTATGACAAGCCAAGCAGCATGACTTCTGCTCTACTTTACAGCTTCTTAACCGTATGCTCTGTCTTAATTTTACTATCCACTTCTATCTCACTTCTCCTTTGCACATATAAGCTCTGTAAATATTAGCTGTGAATGAAGAGATAAAAGTTTGTCGAGAAGAGAAATATCCTTGGAAATTGTACTATCTTTTCTTAGATAAATTTCAAGTTTGGCAGAATAATCCAAAAATGGGGGCTTTGGTACTAAATGAGAAAGAGAAGTAGAATGAGAGAGATGTATTTACACTATATGGTAGGGGTCCAGCAAATAGTAAGTTCATCCTTATGCTTAAAAGGTTGATGGTGGATACAGTTCTGTTATATTTAGCCAATACACCAACAATAATTGTTCTGGATAAATATAATACAATGTATATTAAACTACATTATGAACAGCTCTTCATAGTGGTGATTGACTCTGAATACTACAGAGGAAATTTCATCCTTAACATTTGTGAGTAGCAAAGTTCCATATGGATCCTTTGAGCTACAACCAAATAAAGACTCCAATTGCACCTTCAAGTTCAGAGAGTTGGGATGAATGGGTTTCATGGAACCTTTAGGTATAACCACAATGGAAGTATTGTAATTTATTGAAAAAAAAGTATTAGGATTGAAAAAAACAAAATAGTAGTGAGTTAAATAAAAAAAGCATGAGAATGAGCATATATGTTTAACATATGCATATGTTTATCAAATGATTATAAGCTTAGATGTTTTTTTCTACCATATGTCTTTGTTTTTTCAAATAAAACTCACTTTCAAGCTTATACATGTCAACCTCCGCTTGACATATAACCCCCACTCATATGAAATCGACCGATGAAGTCGATCGGAAGAGGAATTGAAATTCCTTGCCGGTTAGGCTACGGTGAAGTATTTAAAGTGAAATAAAACACCAGTTAGAGAAATTTAATTCATTTAGTGGGGCTAGGTGTATTTACTTGCAATGAATTCCAATCATGAATGTGAGCGCCTTTTGGGTGTAGGTCTTATATTTTAATATTGAAATATAATTTTATAAAAAGTGAGATATAAAAGATTAAAGAATAATGTTATATAACTTAAGATTATATTTTAAGATTTAACTTTAAATTCAGTGCGGGTAAAAGAATCGTCATTGTAGTTCTGTCTCTACTTCTATTTTAATTGTGTGTTCTTTCAATTTTTTCTTTTAACTTTCCAGTAGGGTAGGAATTAGGATATGTTGTTCTTTTCTTTATATTTATTAGTGTTTTTCTTTCACAATGATGATGAAGATGATCATATTTTAATTTTTATTTAGAATATGATTTGTTTAACAATACAATTTTTAGGTGGTTATTAAACTTGCATTCTTAACAGACTTTTAAAGTGGTTATTCAACTTGCTATCTTACTCTTGCGTACCACATCATCATAACTATGACCAATTTTGTGGTTGTGGGGCTGGTGCTTGAATTTATATATCAATGAAGTGTCATTAAGTACTTTGTGGATGAATTCACTGGATGGCGTCCAACACACAATTTTGATTTGCATTTGAGTTTTTTCTGATTTCTGCTGCAATCAAGTTACTGGTTTCACATTAGGAGTTCGACCTCGCTACAATTAATGGTGTAACGTCGGGTTTGTAAATTTCCTCCCAATTACTCGCAATTAAGATGCATCATTATTTGAGTTTTCCCACGGTTGTCATTTATTTGAGATTTTCTGCATGTCTAGGTTGATTTTTTTCCTTTGTTGAGGTGAGATACGTAGATATAGTCATGGCGTCTTCCAATGTGGTTCATTGAGGAACATTACTGATAGATGAATCCCTGTCCAAAGTCTGACACGTGAGTCTGGAGTTTGTATGAGTAAGGTTCGTATGGTGTGTCACTCACTCTTCTCCCAATGTCACAATGCCCAAAGGTTAATTTTTTTCACCATTTGAATGCCCGTTCTTCTATTTTTATCTATTTCTGCTTGCAGCATGTTCTCTCATAGTAAACTTAATTTCTGGTGAGACATCAGTGTTCCCAATGCACCACTTTGATTTAATGGACTTTGATAAGGTATGCAAGAATGGGCCAATATTACATACTTATAGCTTATTTTGTCTTTTTAAATGTGTTTCTATTGGTACTGGTTTAGTCAAATTTATATCCTATAGAACGAAAAGTTTTCACAGACGTGGTCGGGCATGTTTGCACGGAGGGGAAAGTATTGGTGGAGAAAATTATTGGGCTCAAGTGTGTGCCTCATGCTAGAGCTTCAAAATTTAAGGTGTGTTTTTATTCAAAAAGCTTGACGTTGAGTCAGGGGTCTCTTTGGAAACAGCCTCTCTACTTTTGAGTAGGGTTAAGGTCTGCGTACACACACCCTCTCCAGACCCTACTCTTGTGGGATTTAACTGGGCTGTTGTTGTTGTTGTTTTATTCAAAAAGCGGTGAATCAGCGACTGATGTTTCTTCCATAAGCTCAAAGTGATAATTCCTTTTTTCTTTAATTATGGTATACTTTGATTTCGATTGTGTTGATTCTAGGCCAAATTTCATGGCTAGGGCACGAATAGAAGAAACATATATACTCAAATTAGTAAACAAATGGCTAAATTTCATGATACAGTGTATTTTTATGTGTCTTTTAGTCATGATAAATATTACTTTATGTTCTCAAGCTCCTTGACTTTCTCTTGTTTCCTTTTTTATTATTTTTTTTTGTAATATTATTTTATATTCTCAATGTCTAATTTCTAATATCACAATTGAAGAAAAGTCTCATTTAAGACAAAAACTTTTAGCACACTTGAGAGAAGAGAATTACCAGGTGGTGCACACTTGGGAATTTTTATGCAGCATTTTCCATCCGTGTTTCAAGGCAAAGACCAGTTGATTGCAAGCAATAATCACATATTTATGGTTAACTCACATATCAAAAGATCCTACCTGTATTTTTTAACAAACATGGTAAAAATTTGAGTTCATCATTTTTATTAGAAAAAATTTGAATTTCAAAATTGTGTTTTTTTAAAATTTTTGCAACTATAATATCAGTTTCGTGTCACTTTCTTTTAGCTAAGTTGTGTGATTATCTTTTCATTTCAATTGTGTTAAATATTCTTTTTTCATGTTCTACTCTTTATTCATATTGTGTTCAATTATACTCCCTCCATCCCACTCTTTGTCCACTTTCATTTTGGCTCTTGTACCAACAAAAAGTGTAAAAGAGTGTCATCTTACTATTTTACCCTTGCTTTTTAAGTTAGTGGAGTGGATTCAGATATAATTCTCCTAGCCTCCCTCAATAGTGCTTTATGCCAATTGCTTTGATATCAATAAGCTCGGGATTGGAGCTGGGACAACCCATTGTCTTCACCCTAAACGACGATTGCAACAGGGTGCTACTATAAAAAGAAAAAGAAAAAACTGCAGGTATTTTCCATGGATACTTTTCTTTCTTTCTTTTTCCATTTCTTTCATTTCAAAGGTGTTTGACACGATAAAAGGAAGAGGTGCGTTGATTTGAATTTACCCATTTAATACACCACTTATTACCTAGATATTAAATTTTCATAGAAAAAATTGCAGGTATTTTTCATGGATCCTTTTCTTTCTTTCTTTTGTAAAATTATTTTTTGCAATGCTAAACTTAAATGTACTATTGAAAAATAATGCACATGCCTTCAACAACATATTCATTATTTTCACTCCCTTTTTTAGGCACGGGTTGTTCCATTGAGGGGTTGGGAGCATATTTGCTATACAAAGAATTAAGGTTGGTGAATTTAATTCGCTTATTGATTGAATAATTGATTTGGTAGCGTCTATGCTATACTGACTAAATGATGAAACACCTTCCCAAGGGCAAGTTTATTAACCCTATACTCCGTATTTGATATTCCAAGAAAATGCTCCAGAACTGTAAAGCCTGAAGTTCATAATAGAAGAATTATAATTCAAAATCAGATGCCTTAAAAAATTCATTGTTAATTACATTTACCAAAGTCCTAATCAAAGAAAAAGAAGAAGATACCCTTGATCAGTGCTAATTATGTGTGTTTTCTCATTTTCAAATGTGAATTCCAAATTTATAACGAATTTACTCTTATATATTACATGTATTTATGAAGAAATTAAAGTTAGTTTTGTTGAAAAACATTATTACTCTAAACACAACTCAAGGGTGAAGTGTTTGTGTTGTAAAAGTAGGTATGATGTCTCTTGGCAGTTCAAATGACATTTGGCTGGAAAAGTACTTATTTTCTCATTTACTCTTTGTCAAACCCAATCATATAGTTTTACAATCTACGAATACAGATCTTTATTAGTGTTGGGGTTTAGTTGTCAAATATCATTTGGCTGTGTTCATGGAGTCAACTTTTTTGGTTTACTATATATAATTACATATTGAACCGGTGAAAAAAGAAAGTTTGGTATTTCTTTTGTAAAAGTTTAGTTCTGTTTGGGTGTGCAACTTCTATTTGTAGTTTAGTTCTGTTTTTATTTGCTTCGAAGAGTCTTAGGTTTTGCTAAATTATTGGCGATAAAGTTAGAGGATGTATATATAACTGCTGTTTGCTACACCTTGCTACCAAAGTCTATACCCAAATTTTGACGAGGTTGTCCTTTGTTGGAACTACACTTGAGTTTAATAAGTTAGAATATTGGTAAGGATGTTTTTTGGTTTGTTTGGCTATTGGATGGGAGTTTTTGCTTTATTCATTATTTTGGACTGAGATAATTGGCGCTGTCGTGCTGTAATCGTTGGAACATGGGAGCTGAAGTTTGGTTATAATGCTGGATTTTTTTCTTTTCCTTTTTTCCTCTTTTAGTTCAAAGGGACTTCGGTTCTATCTCTCTTGCTATTTCTTTTCTCTTCTTATGGGCTTCTACCCGGTTCCTACACTCTTCTACATTTTTAATAAAATTGGTTTTTAAAAAATTAAACTACAACACTATTGAATATCTTAAATATGGAGTTCTTTAAAAATGAGAACTAATGTATTTATAAAAATGATTATTTCTACTCGAACAACACATTACTCCTTTGAGTATTCCTATATTTTGTGCATCAAATATACATTAAAAAAATGCAAACAACACTCAGCATAAATCACAAGCCCGTGTGAAGCACGGATTCGAAAACTAGTGTGAGTCTCTATATATATATATATATATATATATATATATATATATATATATATGACATAGGATATGACGGTATTTGGTGGACTTGAGACGTGACATGTAGTGGAGCTGAAGTGTCACTTTTTCAATTGTTTCTTCCTTTCCTTTTATTCATTTTTTCTTAAATGATAATTACTTTTTAATACGTTTGCCCAGGTTTCTATTTAATCTTGAAACATAGACATGAATTTTGGTGTTTAAATATTTTTTAGTTAAATAATATAGTGATATCAATTATATATTCAATCATACTAAATCGAAATATCTATAAATTATGTTATTTTTTTTAAATTATTATTGAAAATTAGTTTTAAAAAATATTTTTAAGAATTTAAAATGCCAACTTTTAAATAATTCTACTGAAATGTTTATTTGTGTATGAATTTTTTTAATAAATACTTTCTTCATCCACAAATTCTCTTCTGTTACGATATTTGAATGAAATTAATTTCAATTAATTTAGTATGATAATTCGTGTAAAACTAAATAATAAAAATATTCAAAATCGAGATAAAAAGTTTTACAAAATTAGAGATGACATGATTGTATTACTCTCACACACGATTAGTATCAAATCTCAATTATAGAGCTCCGTTCTGTATGGTTTGGGGAAGGGGGATAAGGTGAAAGTAGTTCTTTGCTTTGTTCGTAGAATTAGTGAAAATGAGAATTCATCTATAGAAAATAAAATTATTTTTTCTTAAAAATGATTTCCTACCACTTATGTAACCAAATGTAGGAAATTAGATTTAGATTCCATACAAAAAAATCTCTCAACAAAAATCTCTAACACTGTATTTGGTTCAAGAAATTTAGTAATAAAAGAAAAGAAAATGGTTTTCCCTCATTTTCCTCACCAAAATGGGAAGAATTTGATTTTCCTTCCTCTTATTACATTTTGCCTTCTCTTTTTCTTTTTCTTCCATTTTTTTCTTTTCCTCTCTAATTAAACAAGAAAAATATTTTCCTTCTCATTTTCTTTTCATTCTCTCTAAAATTCCTTGAATCAAACATAGTGTAAAAGTTAGAATCCAAAAGTTTAGTGTCTTTCAAATATTGTGAAATATAATAAAATTTCATTCCACTCGTGCATGACACGAGTTAAAATATTACTCCCTTCGTCACAGAGTATTTGTCCACTTTCATTTTTACACACAATCCAATACACTTCTTTAATCTATTTTATCTTGTAATTTGTATATTAAGAAATTATAGAAATTATATATTAATAATCTATATGTTAAGATAAATCAAACAAGATTACACATGACTATATTTAGGCTTACACATTGAGAGAATTTAATGAGTCAAAGTGCTTAGATGAACAGTTTCAAAAGTCAAAAGTGGACGAATATAGCGGGACGGAGGTAGTAGTTTAACAATACAAGAGACTTTCTTTAAACGCTAAAAACTCTATTACAATGTAATATTTATTCATACGTTCTCAATTTATTAAAGGTAATAAAGTTATTGTTCGCATTGAGAATTGAACATGTTAGTTCTCATTTGAGAAAGTCTTATTGATGTCGTTGGAACTTGGAATACCTCTACCGGATTTGATCTTTTCTTTCACTTTTATTTATCCATCTCGATTTAATCTTCCTATTGTTATATACGGAGACACGGAGTATATAATATTTTATTTACTTATGCATCTACTACGTACGGAGTATTATTCTTAATATATAAAAAAGTTATTTCCCAAAACATATACGGAGTAGTTCCACTAGAGTCCTCTTTCCTCGTACCTTATATATTGCCGATCGAAGGAGACGGCGCGCCTCCGCCCTCTTCTTTCCGAAGGCAACAAGACGATCATTAAAAGAAGCGATCTCAAAGCAGAAGGAGGAATCCGAATGAAGTTCGGGTTGAAATCAGAACTGGCCCAAATTACACCAAACTAGCAGATTCAATTAATAGAGGTGAATTACTGTTCCTCGTCTGCTAAAGTTTTCAGTTTTAAAAGCTTTATTAGCAAGGGCGGTCCAATTGGTAGTGGTGGGAGAAGTAGCGCCGCCGCGAGAGGGTGAATTCGGCGACCACTCGGAAGATATGGAAATTCCTTCTGCAGGCCAAGGAGAAGTATCACCTCCGGCAGGCCCATGTCCCTGGCTGGTGTTTGACGACGGCGAAGGTTACAAAACGCAAACTTTTTGCTGCAACATTACAGGACCACCTTCCTCCCCGGTCAAGATGTATCCCAAGGGAATCCCAGTTTTGCAAAACAAACAGGTTGTTTGTTGTTCCTATGGCATGCTAGTTTTGTGGGATGTTGATACCAAACTGCTGTCACTCTGCGATTCAACCACCTTTGATGACATTATATCCCTTCCTAGTTTACATCACTTGTCAAATTATGGGATTGATACTTGTCTGCTACTTGTCAATAAGTTGGATGATCTCATGGTTGTAATATTCTTGGAAAATTTTCCATCCATAGTGTGCTGTCCAGTTGATTATGAAAGTGAGTGGAGTGAAATAGCATACGGGGAGCAGTTGAATGCCTTTTTTTCTAATGACCTCATAGAACGGCTTGAACGTGGCGGATTAGGACCTCTCTGTTTGAGTAGGGCAGCAGATATTTGTGACAGTATAATGATTGCCAAACTTCAAACAACATGGTGTGATTCTTTCTGCTTTACTTGGGTGATAGAGATTGTTTAGGAAGAAGAACGACTGGGGCTGTTGTTATATGAGGTGGACGTGCCTGATGGTATGTTTCGAGGACCACAGGCTCCTATAAATGTGTATTTGTTGGAATCTTGTGGGGAAATCTTCTGTTTATGTTTTCTCACTAAAGCTCTAGCCTTTGAGGTCTACAGATTGAATTATGATGGCCGGGTCTTTGAGAGAGTTAAAGATGTAAGGGACAGAGCGTTCTTTGTTGGGGAGAGGTATTGTCTGTCCTGTCCTATATCAGGACCCGGTCTCATATACTTCACTACCTACGGTGACACCGATAATTTATATTGCTTCTACACACATGATGATAGCATTACGGCGTCTCCCCTTCCTTGTCCATTGCTTTCTTCTCCAACTTGGATGTTTTGCAATGATATGACTCGTGACATGCCTCTCAGGCCAGAAGAAAATCATTGCAACAAAGGCATCATCAGCAAGCAAGGAAAAAACAGCACCAGCAAATCAATATGGGAGTTTGATGAGAATGGAGAGCAAGGCAAAAGACTTCGTGACCTTCCTTTGGATATGTTTGAAGAAGTCTCCAAGCATCTCGTAGCATTTGATTACCTGAGTTTTCGAGCTGCGAGTAAAATCTTCCGCTCTGTTGCCCCTCCAATCAGTTGGAGAAGAGCACTGTCAGAAGGATTGGGAGCTTATAATTTCTCTTGCCCATTGCTCATGTTTGCCGACAGAGATGAGGGTGTTTACAAATTTGTAGATCCCAATATAAACAGCAGCAGTTATAATTATTACCTCATGAGGATCCCCGATTCTCTTCAAAACCCGACAACCATGTGTTATTGACATCTAGGCTGGTTGCTTTTGTTGGAACCTGTGCGCGCCGTCCATCTCTACAACCCGTTTACCCGGGTTATCATCAGTTGCAACCGTAGGTACGGGGATGGGGTTGAGGAGAGCACATTTTTCTATTCAAAGCCATCTGCGATTACTACTTCTAATGGCGATTGTCCAATCATTAGTGTTGGTTTCTTCAAGGAGAAGAAAATTATGGTTAAAGTGATCAACCCTCGCCCTGGGGATGAAATTGTGAGGCATTTTGATGTGGAAAGCGATAGAGTTTTCAAGGCACCTGCACCGACTAGCCCGGCTTTGTTCAAAGATGCTTTCTATTACTTAGATCAGGAAGGGCGTCTTGGAAAGCTTAAAATAGCAGATTGGTCAGTGGGAGACAACTTGAGCTGGGAAGTTCTTGACAAACCCCAATGCCCAGATGGGCTTATTGATTCTTCATACCACAACTACTTGGTGGAGTGCGGCGGGGAGCTGATTTCGGTGTTTGTTGGGCGTTTGGGTAAATGGGTTTCGGTTTACAGGCTGAATGGTGACGAAGAGGCTTGGGAAACGGTCGCGGATCTGGGCGGGTACGACTTGTACCTCAGCCCATCTTCATCATTGTCTGTTTTGACAAAGACAAGAGGGAACAGAATCTATGGCCCTTGGCTTCGTGGTTCTGAAATTGCGTTCTTCTCTCTGGACACAGGCAAATGGCATTTCTCAGGGAGCGGAGATTCATCGTGTGATCTTTACGGTACGAGAATGCACCTAAACTCCTCTTGGGTTATGCCCACTTGGTAGTTTATTTATATACACTTGCATTCGTACTAGCTGTGGCCTGTGGGGGCTTTCGTTGGACACTTTTTTTTTTATTGAATTTATTTAATTGACAGCAACATTAATAATCAATCTGTTGGATCAATTTGAGTTAGTGTGCTTATTTATATAAGAGAAATTTACAGAAATAAGAGTAAAAGATGGTGTATTTCCGTAAATAGGAATAGTCCTATTTGACTACACGTTTGGGCATGTATAATGACTAGAATAGCCTCCCACATTAATTAAAGAGAGATGGCATCCACGCGCTGCTATTGTTAGGAATCGCAAAGATTGCGGTAGTAGTTACCATCTACGCATGCTTTTCTAACCCAATAGGCTTCTAAGTCATTACTACACAATTAAATTAGGGTTCTATTGGAAGAGAAGTTTGTTGCTTAGCGATCATGAAGAGCCCAAACGGCAAATCAATGGCATCGAGAATTAATTTAATGAAGACATGGGTGGTCCGAAGGGTGTGCAAAGTGGTCAACCGCACAGGGCCCCTTAAAATTTAAGGCACCATATTTTTTAATTTGTTAATAATTTTAAAAAAAATATTCAAAAAATATAAAATAAGGCATAAAATGTAAATTTTGGACCAAATGTTGGTGCCTTAACAAAAATTTACACAAACATAAAGTGTCAGTGCATTAATAAAAATTAGTTTTACACCAACACAAAATGTTGGTGCAAACCTGCGGGGTACAAAATGGAGTACAAAAACTTGGGGTACAAATAGCTTTATCCTAGATCGGTACATACATGTATGATGTTTGTTAAAAGTGAAATTTACACTAAATAGGACTAAAACATAATGACTTTCATAATCTAGGACTTAAACTTTTTTATTCCCTAAATAAGACTTATTAATGTCTTAGTGGGAAGAATAATGTCCAGTATTGATGGTCATTTACTTGAATAATGACTAATTCATAATGACCAAAAGTCTTACATTGGAAAATAAAGACTAAAACTTTTTTATTTTCTAAATAGTACGGAGTACTTAATAATGTTTAGTGAGAGGAATAATGTCCAGAGATGGTGGACATTTACTTGAATAATGACTAATGAATAATGACTAATGATTCTACATTGAGAAATAAAAAGATATGGTCATATATTGACAAAGTCATTATGTTTTATTCTTATGTAGATAAATGGAGATTGATCATGAAAGATTGGTCAAGGCATTATAAAGATATGAATACACATAAATTGGGTAATTTTTGAAAATGGAAATAAATACAATCTTCATTAAGAAAAATCCAAGAATTAAGTGTTTGTAGTGCAATTATTGGAACAAAATTTGTTGGTCATTAAGTCTTTGTGCATGGGTATTTTGTTTAATGCTTTGTTTGATAAATATTTTGTTAAATTCATCGTTGTTGGGATTAAGCCTTTAGCTTCAAATTTACTATTAAGTCTTTATGAACTAGTGTTTTTACTTTTCATTAATGCTTTGTTGAAGAGTGTTAAGTGTTGGACATTTTATATTACCCTTTTCAGTCATTATTGTTAGTTTTTTAAGGACATAATTTGCAAGTTTTTCTTGTTTAATAAGTTATTCTTAAATGGTTCATACCAAGAAAATCAAAATACAAAAAAATTAGGTGATTTCAAAAATGAAAAAATATACAAAGTACGTACGTAATACTCCCTCCGTCCTTGGGTATTTGTCCACTTTTGACTTTTTTTGGTCAAAACTTGTAAACTTTGACCTCAAATTAAATAAAAATTGTATTAGATATTGATACGAAAATAGTTTTGTTAGATTAATCATATGAAATATTTCCAAAATATTATTTTATCTAATTATAACACAATATATATTTTATTGAATTATAAGTCAAAGGTTAAAAACGGTGGACTGAAAAAAGTCAAAACTGGATAAATACTCAAGGACGGAGGTAGTATATTTTAAAAAATGTAAAAAAAGGATGAGCCTCATCCCTGAGGGTTCCCTAAGACCCGATCGGATGGTCAATGATAAAAGGTAAATTAAACTTTAATCACATTTTGATGGCAAAGATTGGAGATGAAGCACTGATTGTAAAAATGTTAAGAATTTGGAGATGAAAGCAAAATAAGTGACGGTTAATATGATAGAAAATATAATAATTGCATCCTAAAAAATAGGAGAATTTAATGGTTGGTATTATCTCTAAATATGTATAGAACATAAAAAAAAAGAATGGAAGGACAATATGCATGTGTACCAGCGCGTGGATGCGAGATAACATTAGAAGGGCAAACATGGATACATGAACAAATTTTAGTCTTAGAAAAAGGAAAAAAGTAAAGAGTCTTATTTAGGGAAAAGTAGTGGCTTTTAGTCCTAGTTGCAACAAATTTTACTTTATATAATCTGGGTTCAAGTGTTTATGCATGCATAGAATTATAGAAGGAAGCAGGTTCTGGGACATGCAAAATTCCTTTGCTCTTTCTCAGTGATGTTGTTTGAAGGTATTCATCTGATTTTTAATTCCAAATTTACTTGTTTGTTTTTTCAAAAATTAGGTCTCTTGTTTAGTAGTTTTAGATTGGGTCAGATTCAAACTTCGGGTGGTTGTGTTTTGTAACATGCATTTGATTTAGGGATACACCAAAAAATATATTTCAGTTGTACCCCAAAGCCTCGATCTCCACCACAATCATAGTGTTGATATAAAATTAATGACTGGATAAATAATTTAAGGTGAAAATTGATGGTGTACAAATACAGTGTACCGCTAGCATTACTCCAATTCTAATACTTTGTACAATAATAACAGGGCAATAATGTACAAATTTAGAAAATATGTCTATAATACAAATAGTATAAGATATATTTAACAAGCATGTAAATGCCTAAAACTCAATTAACAAATTTACTATATAATTTTATTGAATAAATTTTATTAGGAGTGTATTCGGGTTTTTCAGTTCGATTTTTCCTTAAAACCAAAGACAGAACGGAAGTTAATTTGGCGATTCCGTTCGGTTTGGTTTTTTTAAGTGAACGATTAGTTTTTCAATTCTGTTTTTTTGCAATTCGATCCTTGGGTTTTCTCGGTTATTCGGTTATTAAAAAAATATTTTTTCAAAAGTATATCACACTTCTCACATTAAAAAAATTGTAAAAAAACAACAATTACTTGCAAGTATTTATCCAAACACTAGAATTGCAAAGCCAAATTAAGGAAGTTAATAAAGTATATAAAATTAAACTTCAAGAAGTCAAGTCAACATGTAATTAAAGTTTTAAACATTATTTTCAAACTTTAATTTTCATCTTCAAAATTCAATATATAAAAAAACAAAGTAATTTAGAGTTTTATATGGAGCACCTTTTAATTTTATTTTAAAAATCCAAAAATAAATTGAGGCAAAAAGAAGGCTTACCATAACCAAAACAATCAAACTTAGAAAAGAATTTAAATTATTAAATATGTAAAAACAAAAAAAACATGAACAATTAAATCTACAAAAATTAATTGGAGACTTAGCATAACAAAAATGATTATTTTTTTCCTCATCATGGAACTCTTGGTTGTAATTTACATATTTCGGTTTTTCCGATTTGGTTCGATTTTCATAGTCCAAAATTGAAAATGAAACAATTTGGAAATGGTTCGGTTTGGTTTTTTGTATTCAATTATTGTTCTTTTGGTTCGGTTTATTATATGGTTCAATTCAATCGATATAAATCAAAAGAAAACCCCCTAAATAAGAGTAAAACATATGTTATATCCTCAAAATAGGAGCTCAAACTTAAACTCCTATGAATAGGAGTAATTAATTAAGTAATAAAAATTCTAAACAAATACTCCATATAATAACGCACCGTCCTTTTGTTTAATAAAACATGCAGCATGGATAAACTACACATGTAGATTTGAGGTGATTCTCTCATGTTGTATGATTTGTTTGTGTATTAGAATATGAGAATCGATAATCACTTCAGTTTTGTTGGTCCATGTTGTAGCTAGCTAATATAAATGGATTACACTACGGTTAAAAAAAAAGTAATAAAAGTCCTTATAAATAATATTAAATCTCTAATTAATCTCATCTCTTTGTTACCTTACTTCACGGCCACCCCACCATGCCTTTCTCTCTTCTCTCTCTCTCATTTTTAGACACCACCCTCACTGTTTTGAAACGTTGTCTCTGTCAAATCCACCCCAAGTGCAGTTCATCACCGCCGCCGCACCAGCTTTCCCCTTTGCAGATCTGTCACGAAGCATCCCTTATAGATCCGCCGTGGAGCGCTACCTCTATCTCTCCCCCCTTGCAGATTTATCGCACCGCCTATATCCATAAGAGCTAAGATTGCTGCCAGTCGCGATAACTATGCTTTTGATTTTTAATTAGCTTCCAAATGCTCTATAATTGAGACTGTATGGTAGAAGTAAGAAATACTTCCAACTAATTGCATTCATCCTTTTTTTTTCTAAAAAATTGCATCTTCGTTAGGCATTGATTTTGGTTTGGTTTTTTCTTTTCATTTTTGTCTTTGATTGTTTTTCTTTTAATTTTTTTGTTTGATTGTTTTTCTATTAGTTGTGTTTAAATTTTGCTCTCAATTTCAGCAAAAAATAGTGATAGTGATAAGAAACTTGACTTTATATGTTAGCAATCTTGGCATTTTATATTGACATGTTTGGCATTACACAATAACATGTTTGGCATTATACAATGACATGCTTATCTGTATGCATTATCGTCTTTGACATTGTCGCTTTGGTTTGCATTGTATTGAAATCTTTTTCCCTTGGCAGTGACACCATGGCACTATGATATGGTGGCGATAATGGCAGTTCTGATCCCAATGTTGACAGTAAATTGTATCATTGATAGCAACAAATGGGGGCGATGGCAGCAAGAGATTGTGGCGATAAAGTAGCAGCAACGACAATATAGTAGCGGTAACGACAGTAGCGACGATGGCGGCAAGGTGGCGATAGTTACATGTGCGGTAGGGCCTGTAACAAATTTAGATTTTTTTTAATTTATAAAATGTATTTGATTTCATATTTGTAATATGAATATAATTTCTATTTTGGTACATGATCAATGTTTTACTTCTACTGCTTCTTAACTCTAAGCCATTAGATTAATTAAGTTAATTACTCCTATTTAGAGAAGTTTATGTTTCAACTCTTATTTTGAGGATATGTCATATGTTTTACTACTACTTTGGTCCTTCTCCCATAAATCAATTTAAAACATGAGTGGTATTGATGCTTATTTTGCAAACGGAGGGTACTAATGCAATTTGGCGCCTAAAATTTTACTCCGACCATAATGAGTAAAATACTAAAACAACAATAACAATAGTAGTAGTGTGGTGGTGGTGATGATAATAATAATTCATTGGGATTGAAATAAAAAAGTTTAAAATATTGCAATTTGGCCCTATGTGACCAATTCGTCACATGGAAACGGGCGGACCAAAATGAAAGAATCTTAAAAATTTGTAATACGGAGTATTTTTTTGTAAAATAAGTTAGAATAAATTTTAAATATTGTACTAAATAAATACTCTCTCGGTCCTATAATGATCTTTCCGGTTCATTTTACGAAGTTTGACCGACTTTATTTTCAATTCAATTTATTTGATTGTAGGTGTAAAATTAAAAAATAAAATTTATATATTTAAAAACTACATCAAAAGTTTTACAAAACAAGTTGTGACAAGACTATACTCCGTATTATTTTATCAAATACCTAATGAAAATAGGTAAAGAAAGTGATTAAAATTTGACCAAGTAAAAAGTATGTGAGAAGAACATTATAGGACGGAGGGAGTATGTATTTTTCTAAATTAGTCCCTAAAATTAACCTATTTCATATTCTTATCCTATAAGTTTAAAATACTTTTCCATACTTTTAATTTGAAAATAAACTAGTTTGAGAAAACGCTTAGTTACAAAGTAGCATTTTGGGCAATTAGTATCGAGTTTAATATCATTTTGATGGTCGTTGGTTGAGAGACTGAAGGACAATTACCATTTGGATGACTATTAATCTTTTAGACTAATTTGAAAAAACACATGATAATTAACTACCGCTTTGAGAATTTTCTCTATAATTTAAATTTTATGTCCTCAAACGAAATACAGGTAAAAATTGGTATAACAATTTCAGGCCGAAATCAAACAAGGCTCAGTACCAAAACTTGCAGAGACTCAAATCCCGCGTATGACGCCGGCCCAATCCAAGTAGTAATGGTAAATTGTTGTTGCTTGCTGGCCTCTCATAAAGTGTTACTTTGTGGCCTCCTGCGTGAAGAAGAAGTAGCGCCTCCGCGTGGGTGAAATCGGCAACCAATCGAGAGAGATGGAGATTCCTGCCGGCGAAGAAGTAGCGCCTCCGCCGGGCCCATGTCCGTGGCTGGTGTTTGACGGCGGGGAAGGTTACAAGACGCAAACTTTTTGGTGCAACATCACAGGGCCGCCTTCCCGGGTCAAGACATACCAAAAGAGAATCCCAGTTTTGCAAAACAAACAGGTTGTTTCTTGTTCCCATGGCATGCTAGTTCTGTACGATGTTGATACCAAACAGTTGTCCCTTTGCAATTCCACCACCTTTGGTGACACCATAGTCCTTCCCACCCTGCATCACTTGTCGAATTACAGGATTGATACCTGTCTGCTACACCCCAATTGGTCGGATTCTTTCATGGTCTTGTTGTTCTTGGAAGGTTTTCCATCCATAATGTGTTGTCGAGTTGGTTTTGAGCATGAGTGGAGCGAAATAGCATACGGGGAGCGATTGTACGCCTGTTTCCCCCAGGGCTTGGTAGAACGGGTCGAACCTAGACAAGGACCTTTGTGGTTAGGTGGGGCAGCTATCTGTGGCAGCAAAATCATTGCTAAACTTCGATCAAAACGCGGTGTATCTGCCCCCATTACTTGGTGTATAGAGATTGTCGTTGAAAAAGAAGAACGACTCGGGATGTTGTTGTCTATGGTGTGCATGCTTGAATGCACAACTCGAGGATTGCACGTTCCTGTAAAGGTGTATTTGTTGGAATCATGAGGGGAAATCTGGGGTTTGTGTTTTTTCACTAAAGCTCTAGCCTTTGAGGTCTACAGACTGAATTTTGATGGCATGATCTTTGAGAGAGTTAAAGATGTAAGGGATATAGCGTTCTTTGTGGGTGAGAGGTATTGTGTGTCCTGTCCTATATCAGGACCCGGTCTCATATACTTCACCACCGACGGTGACACCGATAATTTATACTGTTTCTACACACAAGATGATAGCATTACGGCGTCTCCCCTTCCGGTTCCATTGCTTTCTTCTCCAAATTGGATAACGCCACGAGTCCTCGTTGGGTGAGAAGCCTTGTTTTTGTTTCTTCTTTAACGTCTTCTCATCATTTTGCATTATGTACTGTGAGGACTAATGTTTTTTCATCATCCTGCATTGTTATCACTTAATTATGACAACATGCCTCTCAGGCTGGAAGAAAACTATTATTGCAACGAAGGCGTGGACATCAGCAAGCAAGGAAAAAACAGCACCAGTAAATCAATATGGGAGTTTGATGAGAATGAAGAGGAAGGCAGAAGACTTCGTGACCTTCCTTTGGATGTGTTTGAAAAAGTCTCCAAGCATCTCGTAGCATTTGATTACCTGAGTTTTCGAGCTGCGAGTAAAATCTTCCGCTCTGTTGCCCCTCCAATCAGTTGGAGAAGAGCACTGTCAGAAGGATTGGGAGCTTATAATTTCTCTTGCCCATTGCTCATGTTTGCCGACAGAGATGAGAGTGTTTACAAATTTGTAGATCCCAATATAAACAGCAGCAGTTCTAATTATTACCTGATGAGGATCCCCGANTGATGAGAATGAAGAGGAAGGCAGAAGACTTCGTGACCTTCCTTTGGATGTGTTTGAAAAAGTCTCCAAGCATCTCGTAGCATTTGATTACCTGAGTTTTCGAGCTGCGAGTAAAATCTTCCGCTCTGTTGCCCCTCCAATCAGTTGGAGAAGAGCACTGTCAGAAGGATTGGGAGCTTATAATTTCTCTTGCCCATTGCTCATGTTTGCCGACAGAGATGAGAGTGTTTACAAATTTGTAGATCCCAATATAAACAGCAGCAGTTCTAATTATTACCTGATGAGGATCCCCGAATCTCTTCAAAATCCGACAACCATCTGTTATTCACATCAAGGCTGGTTGCTTTTGTTGGAACCTCTGCGCGCCGTTCATCTCTACAACCCGTTTACCCGGGACATCATCAGTTGCAACCGTAGCTATGGGGAGGGGGTTGAGGAGAGCATGTTTTTCTATTCAAAGTCATCTGCTATTACTACTTCTAATGGCGATTGTCCAATCATTAGCGTTGGTTTCTTCGAGGAGGAGAAAGTTGTGGTTAAAGTGATCAACCTCCGCCCTGGGGATGAATGTGCGAGGCGTATTGTTGTGGAAAGCAATAGGGCTTTCAAGGCACCTGCACTGACAAGCCCGGTTTTGGTTCAAGGTGTGATCTATTACTTAGACCAGAAAGGACATCTGGGAAGGTTTAGAGTAACACATTCGTCAGTGGGAAACAAATGGAGCTTTGAAGTTCTTGACAAGCCCCAATGCCCGGATGGGCTTATTGATTCTTCATATCACAACTACCTGGTGGAGTGCGGCGGGGAGCTGATTTCGGTGTTTGTTGGGCGTTTGGGTAAATGGGTTTCGGTTTACAGGCTGAATGGTGAGGAAGAGGCTTGGGAAACGGTCACGGATCTGGGCGGGTACGACTTGTACCTCAGCCCATCTTCATCCTCGTCTGTTTTGGCGACGACAAGAGGAGGGAACAGAATCTATTGCCCTTGGCTTCGTGGTTCTGAAATTGTGTTCTTCTCTCTGGACACAGGCAAATGGCATTTCTCAGGGAGCGGAGATTCATCGTGTGATCTTTACGGTACGAGAATGCACCTCAACTCATGTTGGGTTATGCCCACTTGGTAGTTTGTTTATTTATATTCATACACATAGTAACTTTGGGGGTGTTCATTGCACACATTCTTATTGAATTTGTTTACATCACAGTGACATTAATATTGAGGGTCTGTTTGTTAGCTCAGCTGAAGTCAATGTGCTTAATTATTGATTTAAGTGTTTATTATGTCACCCTCAGCTTAAGTTAAAATGATGTGACAGGGATCAACCTCAGCTTAAGTTAAAATGAGGGCCTATTTATTTCGGATCATCCCCTTGATTAGCTTCTCAGAATAGAGATAATAACATATGTTACCCTCTCTAACCACTAATTCAGTCCTTGCTTCAAACTATGTAATATACCTAATCTGTTTGTTAAGGGTAGTTATGCTACTTTGATGCCCTGGTTTCAAACTATCTAATCATACCTAATCTGTTTGTTAAGGGTAGTTATGAAAGAGATCTAATTAACTTTGTTAAACCACTTCATGTATTATGCTATGAATTGAAAGAGTATATATAGACGAGGAGATTCTTTCCACTGTCAAATCTCATCTTCTTGGCGAGCAAGGGATGATTACCTCAATTCACAACCCATACAGAGGAAGCTTATGGAAAAACTCCTCCCTTGAAAGAAAACTTTGAGGAAAGATGGAGTCTTTTTGCAATATATCCCACCCAAGAAGGTTTTGTTTGATTGGCGAGCAAGGGATGATTACCGCTGATATATAGTCATAAATGGATACTTGTCTCACATGATACAAAGGTGGAGTGCTAAACCAAAGTGAACGTCATATAAAGAATTCAAAAAAAAAAAAAAAAATTCAAGCATTGGCGATTGGTGACGCATGAAATAGCAAAGTATAGTAGATCATGGCAATTTTTTTTTAAGTCCAACTTGAGGGAGTGACTTTTGCCAATAGTCATTGCATAAGTCTTATTAAGAAATTGTATTCTCTGAAATTTAAATGGAATTCTTGTGTTAGAAAGAGCCGGAAAAGACCCTCATTTTGGAGCAGATGGATCAAAATATTTCATCTCCAAGATAAGTTTGGTGGTATAGAGTGTATACTTCGTTGAGTTTGTTATGATAAAAGTCTCGTTTTTAACGAGAGTTCCAAGGGCAACAACCCCTTCCAACTTCTAAAGGGTAGAGCCACTGTAGAGTGCATGCTTCGTTGAGTTTATTAAACTCTTTTTCTTTTAATGGAATTCAAAATCTAGAATTGGAAAATTTAGAATTAAAATCCAAAATTTAGAATTAAAATCTAGAAGAAGTGACCGGTCAACTTTTGACCCGTCCCAATCGAAGAGTTAACATCATTTGGTGATTGATAAAAGTGACCGATCATAGTTTGACCTGTCCTCTGTGGTTGTCCGGGTCGGGTATAGGGATATTTTTGTGATTTCCAACCGCAGAATTAAAATTGAAAGTCTACCATTCAAATTTCATGACTTGAACTCTGTGTATCAAAAAGAACTTGATTTTTTTAATGAATATATTTGCCACCTTCCGAAATTTCAAATTCTGAAGATAAATCATAAGTGCACGGAGTAATAAGCAATTTCAACCATACATCCTGGGACTTCAAGTTTCTTTCAAGTCAAAAGATTTTCACCAAACATTTAATTTACAAGAAGTATCACACAATAACAGAGACTGCAGTGTTGAACGAAGATATGAACTCAGCTGAAATCCAAATGCTCAATGATCTCAAAATGCATCTGCATATCTGGAGGCATGTCGCCGAAATACAGCCTCTCGCGAACATACAATTTCCCCAGGTGTCTATGAGCAACTCCCTTAAGAACCCGGACGAGTTCGTCCTTTTCCCTCCTGATCCAACCTCGCCTCACGTCACCCCACTGCCTGGGGGTCCCATGTAAGAAAAAACGAATGCAGGGCGCCCCTCTCTTGAACCGGTCCGATATTTTGTCAAACACATCTTGGTTGGTGAGATATGCCCCTTTTGTGTTCAGACCAACATCCACGTAATGGAACTCGGCTATGCTGTTCAGGAACCTTTCTTTAGAAGTGGGTGTGATCTCATCTTTGTTTGCTTGGGGGCCTTTGTCTTCTGGCGACTGGACTGAGGAGACAGCGAGCTCAGAGAGAAGCTGGTTAAGTACGGTTCCGCCCTTACTAAAGCCGAGAAGTATTGTCCTAGGTTTTTGAGAAGGCTGTGTGGTGTCCTCTGCAATGAAAGTTTGTTTCTGTCTTGTCCCAGCAGCAACAATTTTAGCCTACTAGAGGAAAAAAACTGTCATGAGTACATCAATCCACACAATTATTCATACGTTCCTTTGGTGAGAAATGAAACAGAAAGTATATATAGAGCATTTCCCTTGCACTCTTTGACTGATATATAGTCATAAAAGACACATGGATTGGTGCAAACAATTATCCATGCCTACTTCCCAAACACAACCCAACCAATCTATCCACCTTCCCTTCTAACCTCCATCATATCAATTTTCTTTTCCACTCTGCTAAGTATCTCGGATGCTGAAAGATGGAGGGTATACTTCTATTGGATGATCTCATAGATTGCTCTGATTTTGTCTTCTTTTTTTTTTATTAAAGAGAAGAGACTATTGAAGTTACTTGAGCCACCCTTCCGCTTCTCGAGCAGCTAAGCCGGTTTTAGATAGGACTTCCCAAACCTTTTGTGTTCTTTCTTCTTCCAATTGCTCACATTTCTCAATTTGGTTGCTCACCAAACTGATTGAAAAAAAATGTTTCATGACTGAGTGTGAAAAGAGTGATAAGGAAAGGAGGTGAAAGTGGATTTATCACACCAAGGAGTAGACTCCTTTGGGTTGTGTTTATGGAACCGTGTGAATGAATAGATGCAAATAGGAGCAGATGAGAATGAGTGGGGAAGGAGTATGCTTGCTCCCCACTTGCTAGACCGGATGATTGATGGAGTCTAATTTTTTATATTATCCTATTACGGATGCCTTTGGGCATGAAAACTAACTCGGTTTTCTTAATCTCTTTATACAGAGAAGAATGCTCAAGTACCATCTTGTTTCTATAACTTTCTTTGGGTTCTTTGGAAATGCGCAATTGTTTTTGTTATTGTACTAACTTTGGAAACAACATCTCTACATTCACACATGAGGGTAATGTATGCGAATAGACACCCTATTTGTGGGATATTACTAAGTTGTTTTTTCGTGAAGCGAACCACAAACATGGTTGCTCGAAGAATCAGTACCTCTTTCAAGCAATTCCAGAGCAGCAAGACTAGCGATGAAGAAGCAGGAAATTCCTTTGCATCGTAAACTTCAGGCTCTCCAGAATCGTTACAGGAAGGGATGAAGTCCTTGTAAACAGCAAAAGGGCCATTGAATATGGGGGCTTCAATCACCCAAGCATTGACCGAATCCCCGAATTTCGAAACCAAGATTTCTGCAACCTTCTGCAAATCGGATAGCCTCTCTATCACAGGATTCCCGGTCCCTTCGACTCGGTCTCCATTGAAAAATATAGCATTTGCAGCAGGTACCTATATCATCATCATCATCAATAGTTCACAAAATTTAACCAAATTGACAAATTTTTTCACAGATTCAGCTCATCAAGAAAATCACAGTCAAGCCATATTCCTATTGGGTGGAAAATTTATTGCCAGAAATTGGGGAGGGGGAAATGATGGGTTTTGCGAAAAAAGACTGATTGGAGAAAATGACAACTCGAAGAGAACACAGAGATGGAAGAATTGATTACCGGAAAGGAGTTGGAAGACGGAGAGAGGCGGAGCGACGCCGCAATCCGGTAGTACGTTGTGCTGCTACCTTTGTACAACGGCACCTTCAAGATTCCACTCCACCGATCCATGAATTCCCTAAAAAAGATGGAAAAACAAATGAAAAAATCCACTCCAGAAATAATCACTACTACGGAGTAGTATGAATTATCTAAATGATTGAAATTGAGAAGGGAAATAATGTTAAGGATTAAATTCATAAAATGGTACTCCGTATCTATTTCCATCATCCCCAAGAGCCAAAATTTCACCATTTTTTGGCTTTAGGGTGTGATGGAATAAATCAAAATGAATCTCTAAATTGTCTGCGCTTCTTTAATTAATGAAGTAGCAGTTAGTCAAGCAATGCAACTTTCGACGTTGAGCCGGGGGTCTCTTTGGAAACAGCCTCTCTACTTTCAAGTAGGAGTAAGGTCTGCGTACACACACCCTCCCCAGACCCTACTCTTGTTGAGCCGGGAATTTAACTGGATTGTTGTTGTTGTACTCCGTATCTAATAATCACTCGTGTGTGTTTTTTCAAATTAAGAATAACACTCAATTTAGTTTCTCGATTAATCACCATCAAATTGGTGTCAACACATATTAAAATTTATCTTAATTTACCAAAATAGTCATCTCTAATTGAAGCTCCCCCCCAAGTTAGTCCGTTTTTACAACAAAAATTTGTTAGAAATTGTACCTGACTTTAGTCAAACATCGTGATATATATGGGTAAATTTCACCAGTGGTACCTGAACTTTAGCTGGAATTTTAAAATGGTACCTAAACTTCAAATCTTTTCACAAAAATCTCTGAACTTACACAATCCTTTCACTAAAAGTCCATTTACCTGTTTCTAGGTTAACTTCCGATCATTTGGGCCAAATTAGAATTTTATATATTTTAAAATTTTCAATTTGACTCCATTTCTTTTTTTCTTTTCTTCCGCTCCCCGCCGCCGTCGCACCACGTCAAACTCGCCGGAAAATCAACCTGGTCAGATTCCGGCGGGACCAACGCCGTTCTCTTCGTCTTGAGATGAGGATCAAGAATATCCAAATCATTTTGTCCAATTTGGCCTGCAACTCCTCGAATTTGAATTTTTCCACTCGAAAAAACCCTTAAATCTGAAATTAGGGTTTTTTCAAATTGTCATCAAATCTTACAATTGAGGGGTCCTTGGGGGTCGCCGAGATGCCACGAACACTTTGGAGGGGATGAACGACGTCAATTTTGCCGTAGGTGACCGGAAAACGCTCCAACCCGCCAGAAGGAGGCGGCATTTTCCTTCAAAAAAAGTGTTACTTAATATACAACCGAGTTAGGGGTTTGGTTCCTGCACCATGCAAGAGTTTGGAATTGAATTGGTTGGACAAGTCGTGACAAATTTAGAAAACTAATTAAGTAACGAAGACATATCTTGCAATTTATCAAACCAAAACTGTCTTTCCAAATAAAGTCTCACGCGTTAGGGTTTTTAAAAATCTATCATTTAGCGTTCGTTTTCAAAGTAATTTATCCAAAATGCTAACACTAATCTCTAACGTTATTTTCAAATGACTCTTA